TCTGATGTCTGTGAGCAGACTATTTGTCTACGACCTTTACGTGACATACAAGTTAAAACAAACGAGAAAATACATAGCACAAAATCGTAGCTACTCTGTGATTCAACACAAGCACAGTCATTCCCCTCCCCCACAGTGGACTGCAATATGTGAGTGGAAAAGTACTGACAGGAAGGGCTGTACCATTTAAGTGGTCTTTAGGGGTGGACATTTTTTTTTTTGTAACGTTATGATTAATTAAAAGAGCACACTCGTCATCTGACATAACAAAAAAAAAACAATTATAAATTGATTGTAACTATTACAGCTGTGGAACAGGCCAACAGGCAAGGGAAGAAGGACAGTTTAGCCATAGCAATTTGGAGGCACATGACAACCACAAAACGTGACATAATTACTGAAAATCAAGACTGTTCAGCGGTCCATAACTTAGTCTTTTTATTTGATAAAGATCTGACCCCTCAACTGCATCTTCTTTGTTGCCCTGTATGACTCTGTTGAACTCAACTGAATGCACCTTCAAGTAGGTCTGGACTATCTTTGTTACAGGGCAAGAGTACACCAACGGAGGAGAATGATAAACCCCAACAGTTGTTGATAGTTAGAAAGATCTCTCATGGACCTGTTTGGATCTGGATTCACTTCCATAAGCTCTGCTCTCTGGAGTCCAAACAATATTTGCATCCCAGTGATGTTACTAGTGGGACTCGGTTTTCCATCAGTGTCCAAATCACACAGTCCACCAGAGCATGAGCTATGTTTTAGAGTACAATATTGCACAAACTGGTCAAAGCATGCCACAGTTATTTTTCAGACTTTATATAATTATTCAAATATCTTCATGAAGCAGACACATGGTCACAAATTCCATGAATTTTACTGATTATCTTATAAATATTTGTCAGTTGTCTCGTGGATTATTTACTATTTTGTAATTAATGGTGACACTGGCTTTACGCTTTACCGTCTTATGTTTTAACATTGTGGATGAAGAGTGGGAAATTTTAACATTACAAAGAATTGAATACCTGTAAAAGAGATAAAAAAAAATATCAGTATGTTTTTATTCCAGGTAATGATCAACAGCAGCTAAAGACTTGGAAGTCTCAAAAGCAGTGAAACAATCTTGCATTTCCAATGCCAACAGTATGCTTACTGTGTTGGTGTGGTGTACAACAGAAAGTTGCGATCTATGTCCTTTCTGCTCTAAAGAACCATGCGAGACGTTTACATATCACGTCTTTTGCAAACTCAAGTTCATTATTTCAAATGTAGACGTGAAAAAAATCTGCACAATTACATAGAGGAAGCATACATAGAAGAAGCCTCCTGGGCATCAACAGAAGACATATTCTGATCTAGCTTCCTAGCATTTGATTTTTTGTCACAAGTAGACAACAAGCCTACTTGAACATGTTTTGACGGTTTAATTTCAAACATGGCATGTCCTGTGTTGTTGTTCCCATTTCTTGTTGCATTTATTTAAAAAAAGGCATATCCTGTGTAGTCATTCCCATTTCTTGTTGCATGCGCTGAGGAATATACTCTGTAAACCAGTCTAGCTGCAGCCTTTTGGTATAACATAATTGTGCCAGGTACACTTCAACAGGCTACCAAAAATGGCAGGGTAGGGTTTTTGATTTTGTTACTTTTGAAAGTGGAAACAAAATCTCTTTACTGCTGTTCACAAAGCGTGAACACACATACATAAACACTGAAGTGTCTATGATCAGATATATGAGAGATTTGTTGACAATTCAGCTGATAGACATGGCTTTCAAACCCTCCAGTGACAAATATTTAAATTCCAGGTTGGAAAAAGTCGTGAAAAGTTTTTTATAACATGGCTCTAGTTTATGTTGTTAAGTAGTAACTCCTCACTGCAAAACTTGCACCCATACCCAACAGCAAGGGCAACAGCATGCCCATCAAAGCACATGCTTTAGGATGAGGAAGTCAAAAGCTGCGTTTCCACTGTCGTGCCTAAAGTCAGCGCGCTGATGTGAGCCAGGCCCAGTTGCTTTTCCACAGTCATTTCCAAGGCCTGATCAGGCCTTTTCAGGGTTTCCTTTGGGCCAACTGCCAGCCTTTTTGGCCCACTGAATACCTTGGGCTAAATTGGGCCAGCTGGGGTTTTGTGGTGAGGTAAAAGCAAAGTCAAGAGTTGCCCAAGTCAAGAGGGTCTACAGCCATTTGAAATCGTGCACGAGAGTAGGCTGCATGCGCATACATATAACCACTGTTCAGTTGAAGATATTGCATAAAACATCAAGTAATTTTTGCTTAAGATTGCCCCTATGTTTCCATTTTAAATTTCAGGGTGTTACATAAATTGCCCTTCCGTTTGTGGTGAGACCACTCGATGCACTATGCACACAGTCAATGGTGATTAAACGAATATAATAAATTAAATATAGAAATATAATTTAATGCTGTACAGTAACATGTAGGTAGTAATTGTCTCTATTTTGATCATTTTGTGATAATGCGATGGAGTGCTTTATCTGCGCAATTCTGATTTGACTTTCTTCTTCCCTCTGAGCGGGGTGAGTTGTGTGATGTTTGATTCGAGTGGCATTCCGGAGGAGGGAGTTTGCATGGTGTGTCAAGAGCTATTGGCCTGAAAGTGGATATGCAATGTGATTTTGGCCTCACTGCTCAAGCTATCAAGCTATATACCGAAGAAAGCCCTGGCTTGCAATGGCCCAACAGTGGAAAAGCGGCGAATGAAGTACCGCACAGAACCTGCTGGGTAATGGCTCAATAGAATTTTTTTTTTTTGGTTGCAAAGAGAGGTTGAATTTTGAGGTTGTATTTTACAAATGACACATTGAGGCAAAGTAAATTTGAATTAAGAAGCCATTTTGGAGATTTCGAAGACCAGCTAAGGCTGATCACACCAGTGTGATTGTGTCAAAGGGTTAAGATTACACAGATTTGCCCATTTATTTTCCCAAGCAAATTATTCACAGGTTATAGTCGATTGCTTAGCGGAAGTTACAAACACTGTTGATTTGGCATTTTCACACCTTCAGGTGCTCTGGTTTTTCTGGACAAGCTGAGTTTGTTTTCTGTTATTTTAAATGGTAGTGCCACGTTTGTTGAGTGCCTGTAGCATAGCATTAGTGCTTTACATATTTTCAGCCCTTGCACATTGAAAAATACAGCACCCATCAGTATCACTTTTGAGCTATCCAATTACAGTGGAGGATGGGCAGGACAATTCCATGCAACTGTCAATAAATAATCTGCTAAAGACTTTCTTAATGGTAAACTTGTAAAGGTACAGCAGGAATTTTTTGTATCATAGAAACTCACTTTTAAAAAGCTGCACTGCAACAATGATTGTTGAGTGTTTTTAGATTGGTGCTTGCTTTTCTAAAGCGCACAAACGATTCAGTGGACATGCAGCCTAAAGCAGGTCGCACACCAGAAGCACACCAGAAGCGCGCCACGCAGCGCCATGTATTTTAGAGTTCTAAACATGGGTTTCTATCAGGATACACACACCGGCGCCGCAAGCTGGCGACTGTAGGCGGCGGCGCCCGGCGACGGCTCAGGACGCAGTTCATTTTTCAGCCGCGCCACAGAGCGCCATCTGATTAGTTTCATGTTAAATATCATTCGAATGTGCGCGTCTGGTGTGTAATACTTTAAACTGTCATGTACGCGCCGTGTCGCGGCGCCGAGCGGCACTTCTAGTGTGCGACCTGCTTAACAAAGCTGCTGTCAACTAACAAAACAACACAATATCAGCCAGTGCCATAAGCTTAAGGGGGTGGGGAATTGTGAATTGGGGCTAATTGGTTTTTGACAAATGAAAGCGAGATAAGGGAAACCGGTTAAAAAACATATTTTGAAAGCCGTTGTGTCTGTGTGTGTGTATGTGTGTGACCTTTTTGGTACAGTAATTTAAAGATTTTTTAGTTTCACTATTTTGTATATCTTTTGAATATGGATAACGGTATAAATAAATACAGCAAAAATAATGCACAAATAAATGAAATTAAGACTTCAAATTCAAAGCCTAAAGGTGTTCGCACACTGAATGCGCAACTCGGCGGAGCACCACGACACGCCAAGAATCAGTATGCCTTTTAGAATTTTAAACAGATTTCTATCAGGGTTCGTACACCGCCAGCTATGACTCAGAAAACTTCATATTTCTGCCACACTACAGAACGCCAACTGAATATTTTTATTTTAAATAACATGCAAATGTGCACGTCTGGTGTGCGAGACTTCCAACTGCTAACTGTGCACACATGTTGCGCACTGATTTTCATATTCGGCACATCTGGCGGCGCTGATTGGCGCATCCGGTGTGCAACCCCTTTAACTGCGGCTGTTTTACTTCAACATGTAGTGGATTACCTCAAGCGAGTGACATCTTGAGATCACATATTTGCATATTTGCTCATAGAATAAATTAATCATGGCTGCCATTTTTTTACAGATGTAAAATAACATTATAAACAAAACTTTTTCAATCAACGCTACAATTATTCAAACTTTAAGTGTAATATGAATCAACATGTGCAGATATATATATATATATATATATATATATATATATATATATATATATATATATATATATGAAATCATATTAGAGTCAAACACTGCAATCAGTAAACTACAGTCAAACCCCTAAAACATTTTTAAACAAAAACATTCATTTCATCTTACATATTAAATTTTATCCTACATAATTGTAATAAATAATTGCTTACATTACTTTGGGAGGCTACTTTTTAAAATATAAACTTGCCCTTATAAATAACTTTTTTTGTTTAAATTTGCACTTATTAATAGTCCAACATTAAAACAGATGTCCAATATGTGACAAGCAAATCACGTTACAGTTAACATTAAAACACAACTGAAATTGAAGACAACAAAACTTCAATAATGCACTAATTTCAGAAAACAACTCATTTAGAAATGTTCACAAAATACAATTCATTTGAAGAACAAACAAACAAGTGTAGAAAACTCACCCTGTACTGTTTTAGTCTGAGAGCCTCTCAACCGGTATCTCCAAAAATTCGCTACCGTGGTGGACTGTTTCGTATTGTGTACGTTCAAAAACAGCGCATCAGCAAACGCGGATTCTGTTGGTAACGTCTTTATCGTCACGCAACGGAATCACGCACAGTCACACAGATAGCTCACAGGGAGACTGACTGTAGGCTACAGTGAGCACAGGCTGACAGCAACTCTACAGTGTAGTTCGCTTGCCGATTCGCGCTCTCTTCTCCTCTTCAACAACAGGAGGAGGAGACACGGGTTTCGCGGGACACCGGGACAATCGAAAATGAAGCGCCTCCTACCTACAAGTCGCGTGTTCAAAATGTCCGTCGATAAATACTGTAGTCAACAGTAATTACAGTGGTACTACAGAGTCAGAGAAACTAACTTGGTTCAGTTATGTTCTCATCATGTTTGTTATTGTTATTATAATCTAATAGTTGCCAAAATTATACGTTACAATAATAACGGAAGAAATATCATGTTTGGCTATGTGCCTAATACAGCTACAACATAACACCGTGTAACATCTAGATGAGATTCTGTTTTGGGTACTTTTACACACTTAAACGCTGTCTTTGTTCAGTATCATCATGTACTGCATACTATGATTATACCTACAATGTATTTGGTTAATTTAGTCGGACATAAAAATAATTTGAGTCATTTTTCAGTGAGTTACCGCTCGATTGATTCATGTATTGTTGATTCCCTAATAGAATCGGTTCATGTGAGTCATCCGTTTGCTAATCGAACTGCCCCTTTAAGCAAAGAACAGTCATCCGTTCGGGAATCGGAGTCCTGCCGCGCTTGAAACGTGAATGAATAGCAGTGCAAGAAAAACCCAATGTTTGGGGGCAGCAATAAATAAACAGGTGTAAAAACAAAAGGTAAAACAAAAGGTTTCTAGTGTTGCTGGATAGCAATGCAAGAAAAGCCAGAACCGAACATAATAAACAACTGAAGTCGTTTTGTTTTATGCAGGCACGTTTTTTATAGAGCAGCTTTGTAACATAACCAGACGGTGTTGTTTCAGAGGGGGAGGGTGTGGTGGTGAAAGTGGGGGTGGGAGATTTGACCCATGGGAGGAGTTATTCTGTCCTCATGCAGGTTCATATAATAATTATTTTTCAGATCGCTTTTTAGCAAACCTGAATAAAACATGAGCAATTAAATTTTTCTAAACTGTTTTTGAAATTAGGTGCACACACCCAACTCATTATTTTATGATGGATGATGTATAACACATTTTAAATGACTGATTCACATGTAAGCATGTTCAGTTTTCAGACTGCAAAGTAATCCAGTAAAAATCGTGTTGGCTAAATATAGGGGACATACTTTATAATCTCGTGATGGTCAGCCATTTTGTTGTTATGACTTGCAGCATGTGAAGCAAGAGGCATTTCTCTGTTTAAAATGTCTACTAGCTGCAATACCGCCTGTGAGCTGTTGGGGAGCTCATAAAGATCATAGGAACACTTTATGTAATGTAACCAATATATAGCAAGCTGCACTTGATAAGGGTTATATAAGCGTACACACATTTATCTTAATTAACAAAAACATCAAATGTGAATTATTAATTAAAAGAGCTGTATTTAGTGTGAGTTATTTAAGAAAGGTCTTCTACTTCACATCTACCTTAATGCTGAATTCCACTGGACTGATATTTTGAATTTATTAAGTTAGAGAGCGTAAACTGTGGTCTGACAGTAGGCTACACTACATTAGTACACTACTACACTCACTGACTAACCAGTGTACTCTTCTCCCTGGTCACAGAGCGGGAAGAGCGGTTGGCTCCGCCCACCATTTCAAGCCAAGAGGAAACCCTTGAAACGACAAACCAAATAAACAAAGACGACGATATTTTTTTGTATCGTCCACAAAAGCTACGATAAATAGCGCAGTCTAAATGAGTCACTTCAATTCAGTTACCTCAGTGTCAAAGCGAGTGTTTCAGTGTCACACAGTCTGAAGCAGGAGAAGCAGCTCTGGTACTCAAATGAAGATTGCAGGATTCATTTGATTCAAGCTGACTGTGTTGAGTCAGAACAGAAGGGTTTCTATCAGCTAAAAGCCTAAAAACAGTGTTTGACAAACGTGACAGAAAATAATGAGAATTCGGATGGACCGGTAGAACGCTGTGTGAACCGAAGAGAGTGGACTCATGTCGGCTTTCGATTCTGTATCGCTCCGCTCAGTGGACTTTGTGAATGCTGTGACGGAGTTGAGTCTTTTGTCGTAGAGCTCCCCCTACAGGCTAAATATAAGAATTGCCAGTGCTCTCAAATAACTGCTGAACTTGCTAAACTTTTAGCAAATGTGTTTTGGAGGCCAAAATAAAGCAAGACAATTATGGCAAACATGTTTATTAAATTAAAACATAAGTATCGCAATAAATAAAACTTAAATACAATATAAATAATGTTTCATAATAATTGTTCAGAGGTGTTTTATTGTTCAACACCACGGTTAATTAAATGCGATGTGAAAAAGTTGAATGACATAATCTATCATTCTGTGCAGAGATTATGAGAGTGATAGAGTGAGATGGAATGTAAAATTACCTAACACATTAACAGAACTGGAAATATTGGCACACGCTGGAAATTAAAAAGTACACCACAGAAGAGACAGAAATCACCTTTACAATTGATCGTAATGTTGAGAAAGATTAACACTCATTCACACTAACAAACACTCATGGGGTTTTCATACAAAATGTACTGAAGAAAAACTTCAAAACTACAACTCTTATTTTGTAAAAGGCACTGATTATTTTTTAATCAGTGTTCTTTCAGTTTCTTTAATTGGCCACTAATCACACTAGCCAGTGTAAATTGTGGCATATGTTTAACATGTTTGAAATGATCTGTAAGAATATATACTTAAATGGTCACTTCAGCGTCCTCTGAGACTGGCTTTGGCAGAATTACACAGCAAAACTAACAAATAGAGAAACACTGCTGCGCCATTATCTGGCCAAACAGATTCAACACTTATTAAAATACGTTTAGTGTTAGGATTTAGTAGGCTTACTCATAACTTGAGTGTATTGAATTGGCAATAAGTACTAAAAGTGTGCTGAATGTTTTAATAAATAAGGCCCGTTAAGAAAGCTGCAGACTGCAGTGGCAGTGCAATCCCCTTTCAAACTATACTAAACTGCTCAAACGTGTCTGACAGAGGTTTTCTAGTAGAGGAAGTGAAATACCTAAAATGGACGGTTTCCATTTATGAACGCATGTGCACAAGACTATTCACCTTCATACAAGACCTGCACACGATTATCACAAGCAACCACGCTCACTAAACTGAGCACAGTGAGCAAGGGGAAGGCTTTTTCTACTTTTCAAATATTGTGCGACAAGAAATGATGGCAAGTTCCACGAAGGGTTAAAAGGAGTGTAAAGACAAAACCTCCACAGCGATGAAATCTTCTGAGCATGCACAGCTGACTTATTAAAAGATGAATCTTTCTATCCTGCTCGATTTTGGTTAGTTTTTCTTTTCTTCACAGGTTGCTTTCTTGTGTATCGTGGCCAGAAGATGAGATGGGATGCAGACCTCCATTATCATTGAGCCTCTTGGCACGGTACGTCTCGTAGTGGATGTTATGAGTGACCTCCTTCAGGTCCTGGAGGTGAGACCTGATTTATGATGACATTATTAGTATTGGTCGGTTTTTCAGAACAATTTCAGTTACTGTATAATAAAACACAAGTGACAGTCTTATAAATGAACACAATAAACATTAATACATATACAGTTGAAGTCAGAATTATTAGCCCCCTGAATTATTAACCCCCCTGTTTATTTTTTCCCCCAATTTCTGTTTAATGGAGAGAAGATTTTTTCAAAACATTTCTAAACATAATAGATTTAATAACTCATTTCTAATAACTGATTTATTTTATCTTTGCCATGATGACAGTAAATAATATTTGAATAGTTATTTTTCAAGACACTTTATACAGCTTAAAGTGACGTTTAAGGGCTTAACTAGATTAATAAAGTTAACTAGGCAGGTTAGGGTAATTAAGCAATTTATTGTATAATGATAGCTTGTTCTGTAGACTACCGGAAAAATATATAGCTTAAAGGGGCTAATAATTTTGTCGTTTATAATGGCTTTTAAAAAAAATTAAGATCTGCTTTTATTTTAGTCGAAATAAAACAAATAATACTTTCCCAGAAGACAAAATATTATCAAACATACTGTGAAAATTTCCTTGCTCTGTTAAACATAATTTGTGAAATATTTTTTTTTTAAATCAAAAGGGGGGCTAATAACTTTGACTTCAACTGTTTAAGTAAATACAATTACTAAAAGTGGTCCTAATTACAAGCTTCTACATAAAACTAAATAGGTACAATGTTTTTATTGTGTTCTGTTGTATTGCAAAACAGGTATGGGTAAGGCCAGACCGAATCTGCAGCAATTTTTTCTATTTCTGCGCAGAATTTTGTAAAAAAAAATCTTTGGATTTATGCAGAATGATTTTGGCATTATCGTAACTAAAAACTTCATATATAAAAAAATACTAAGTTTTTAACTTTTATGTAATGTTAACATTGCAAATCCAATTACATCCTCTTATTTTTTACATCTACTAAAAGACAGAAAATATTATGTTACAAACTGTACTGTTAATAAATCATATGAACATTTTTATATTAGTCAATAATATTACTGAAATTAATTTAAAAACTGAATAAATATAAATGTACATATATTTACAATAGAAAAGAAATAGACTCAATAAATAGCTAAAAATCTGCGGAAATCTTTAGGTTTTTGCGCGAGCAGATTTCATGTGGGACTAGATATGGGTATGGTGAAATGGGTGGATAAATGTCTAAGAGATGGGTCAACAGTGTAATTATAAACGTAATTATAGAAATTAATTACATTGTAATAACACAAATGTACATAATAAATGCATTGTCCCAGATAAATAATGCAATGTAAGTACATAGTGGTTAATAAAATTTAATATAAAGTGGGACCCAAATATGATTTATTAAATAAATTATTGTATTTTCTACAAGTAAGATTGTAAATGTTACCAGTCAAAGTTATTAAATCAAATTGATTCTTTACATTAAAAAACATTACACCTTCTTCAGTGTTCTGATCCTTCAGAAATCAGTTAAAATGCTGATTAAGTGTTAAAAAGTTCTAAAAAATCTCTTTGGGGGGAAATGAGATACCTTTTTCAGTATTTGTTTTTTCAAGAAACAGAAAAGAGCAGCATTTATTAACAATAGAACGTTATTTTTCTTTTCTGTTCCATTTTATCAATCAAACACAACCTTGCTGAAAAGAAGCAGTGATATCTTTCAAAACAAATCTCCCCAACCTCATATTATTTTTAAGGTTGTAAAAAATTACAATACAATATTATGATGTGATAATAAATCAAGCTTTATACATCACCTAATCATAAAATCCCGAAGTAAGGAAAATTCGCAGTGATTTGGGTTTTCGACTACAGGGACAGAAAAAAGCAGATTTTGTTAGTAAACACAACATTATAATGAATACATGAGCAAATAAGCAACTTTTTTGTAAAAAGAGTCATTCTTTATATTTGATACCTTAGTTTTTGTCTAGAATTGTGAATATTATAAAATTGCTGAAGCTGCCCTATGTGTATATTAACAGAATGGAAAACAGTACTAATAAAAGGTAGAAAAGACTCAAGGTATTATAAATTAAAAGGTGTAGAAACATGGGAAATATTACAAAATTACATTTGTAATATATATATATATATATATATATATATATATATATATATATATATATATATATATATATATATATATATATATAACATAGGCGACACAGTGGCGCAGTGGGTAGCGCTGTCTCCTCACAGTAAGAAAGTCGCTGATTCGAGCCCCGGCTGGGTCAGTTGGCATTTCTGTGTGGAATTTGCATTTTCTCCCCCTGTTCGTGTGGGTTTCTTCTGGGTGCTAGAGTTTTCCCAACAGTCTATACACATGTGCTGTAGGTGAATTGGGTACGCTAAATTGTTCGTATAGTGTATGTGTGTGTACGTCCTGGTACTCCAGGTTGGGGGTTGAGCGTTGGGCTAACAACCCACCTTTTACAAACTAGATTTTACGAAACCCCAAGATGGTGAGGCTAAATATCAACTTCAATTTAAATGGCCCTGGGAGTAAGTATATATATATATATATATATATATATATATATATATATATATATATATACAACATAAATCTAATTCATAATTCTTTTGGAAGCAATTTCAATCCACATATAAAATTTAACAATAGACAGAAAATAAACTGCAGTGCTTCCCACACATAGACTATACTTGAGCGGGCTGCCCAGGTACATTAATAGCCGCCCAAGTATATTTGATGGTGACTCATTAATAATATTATTATTATCATCATCCTATTACACTTTTTTTGTACCCTCCCAAGAAATCCAAACATTTGAGATCGATTAACCACTGGAAAATCTTCTCTCGCTCTGGATGTTTCCTACATCTGGTTCTGCAAGTGTGAGATCTGTCAACACTTACATTGACAATCTTACGTGCTCTGCAGACCCACAGAGATGCACCAAAATGCATCCAGCCATAGTTTCTGAATCTCCTAAAATGTCATGTTTTGCTTTCACTTTCTAAAGTTGCTATTATTTGCATGTGTTTTTGCATAACCTTTTCACAGCTGACTACGCGCGCACATCCGCAAGAGAAACATTAAACGATTCATTATTCAATAAACGACTCAGATAAACTTTATATACTCGGAGAGAACAAAAGGATATCTATACTATCTGCAGAATATTTGTACACCATTAGAAATGGTCAATCAACTAATTTGCCTTATTTAAATAATCTACACTTTTTATTCTTGTAAATATTTTAAATTTTAGCAATATTGTCTATTTTTATTCCTTTTTTCTGTTATTTATTTTAAATTTACTGCATATTTTATTAATTTAACCATGTTAATATATTACATACTTTATTTCTAAAATGCTTTGGCAATTTTCCCAGAGATGGGTTGCAGCTGGAAGGGCATCCGCTGCGTAAAACATGCGCTGGATAAGTTGGCGGTTCATTCCGCTGTGGCGACCCCGGATTAATAAAGGGACTAAGCCGGAAAGAAAAGGAATGAATGAATGCTTTGGCAATACTTTACTAAATGTCATGTCAATAAAGCAACTTTAGAGGGAGAGAGAGAGCGCAGCCTACCTGTCAGTGGGTGCACATGGCTCCTAAATAACATAAAAGTAAGAGAAATAGCGGATTTCTTTTATTGCAACTGCCTTTTTTAATAATTTTAACCCATTGAAAAGAAACCGTGTATAACAGTGTCACAATAAATAAAAAATAGTTAAAAATCACATTACTTTTTGTTTGTAGTTAACCATTTACAGTATGTGCTTTGGGTAAAAGGTGGGTTTCAATCCAGCTACCACCGCAAGTATATTTCAAACCTGTGGGAAGCACTGAACTAAATATAAAAAATGACCCAAATATTTAAGAAAGATATCAATTACTTCAGGAATTGAGTTTTAATAACTGCACAGAACAGAACAACATTTTTTATATTATCACACCCAATTTGAAATCAATGAAACTCTTTTAATCTCAGAAATCTACAATAAAAGTAGAAGAAGCCACAAAATAGCACTTCTGGCCACTCACCCTCCACAACTCCCCAGGCCGTCTTTCTTCCTAAAACTCGTTTGCCATTGACCTGATACTCTTTATCACTTCCTACCACGGCAAAGGGCATTGTCTCCTGTAATGCACAGATTTAATGGAGCAAGCATAATGTATAAAATACATGGACCAACAGATGAAAGCGTCCAGAGAAAAAGAAATAGAGACATTATTCGTACCCTGATCTTATCGTTATCACTTTTATCCTCCATGTCTTCATCAAACTCTTTCTGTGGATAACATTCGATCCCACACACTTCCAGCTCCTTCCTCACCTGCAAGAGATGAAGGTGAGCTACTGCAGTAAACCAGTATGAGAAAACTGACTAGGTGAAAGCGAATTCGTTCTCACTCTCTGCTTAAATTCCGTTTTTTCTTCGGGAGTGAGTGTGTCTGATTTGGCTATGACAGGGATGATGTTGACCACTCGACTCAGATGTTTCATGAACTCGATGTCCAACTGGCGAAGCCTGAGAAAGGGAAATATGGGGGAAGAGATATGATTAATAGGCTGGTAGAAGCTAATTGTATTACAGGGAGAGCAATCTGTCTGAGGTTTACAGTTTAACAACACAGCTCAGTCAAGCATTCAGAGCATCATTGGCGAAATGAGGAGCACTCATGCACACAGTCCTAAATCAACAGAATGACATGTCTTAATTAACAAACTGCTACTGCAGGCATTTGCCGGCTATTGACAAATGAAAAGACTTTTAAAAGATCTGAATACGGTAAAGTAATATACAGATGGTCTCCTATAGAGGCAATTTGTGACCCTGGACCAGACAAAATCAGGTATATTTTTGGAAATAGCCAACAGTAAATTCCTTCATTCATTCATTTTCCTTCGGCTTAGTCCCTTTATTCATCTGGGGTCGCCACAGTGGAATGAACCGCCAACTTATCCAGCATGTTTTACACCGCGGATGCCCTTCCAGCTGTAGCCCAGCACTGGGAAACATCCATACACACTCATTAACACACATACACTACGGCCAATTTCATTCATTCATTCATTCATTCATTCATTCATTCATCTTCTTTTTGGCTTAGTCCCTTTATTAATCAGGGGTCCCCACAGCAGAATGAAAGTAGTTCTCCTTCCTTCTTATCCAGCATATGTTATTATGCAGCAGATGCCCTTTCAGCCACAACCCAGCAGTGGGAATAACCCATACACTCTTGCATTCACACACATGCACTACGGGCCAATTTATTTTATTCAATTCACCTATAGCGCATGTCTTTGGACATGTGGGGGAAACCGGAGCACCCGGAGGAAACCCACGCAAACATGGGGAGAACATGCAAACTCCACACAGAAATGCCAACTGACCCAGCCGGGGCTCGAACCAGTGACCTTCTTGCTGTGAAGCAACAGCGATACCCACTGTGCCACAGTGTCGCCCTACTGTAAACATATCAAATCTTAATTTTTGATTAGTAATATGCTATAACGTAATTTGGACTAAGTTACCGTTAACTTAATAAAAAATAATAATAACAACCTTTAGATATTCAAATAGTTGTATCTCAGCCAAATATTTTCCTATCCTAGCACGCCATACAACAATGGAAAGCTTAGATATTAGGAATTGTGTATAAATTTAAAAAAAAAAAAGGACTGTAATGGCTAACTTTGTGGTCCAGGGTCACATTCATTCAATTACAGTTTAATCCACAGTAAGTCAGCAATACGTGAGATCACCTTCAAACCCATAAGAAATTTGGTTAATCATCAAAGCACAAATTTTAATTCCACATGTACACAAGTTTTTTGTGTTAACCATATGCTCTACATGTAAGTTTATATGTACAATAAAGCATTTATATGAATCTGTTTGTCAAAAAACAATCATATATCGTGATGTGAAGATTTGCATTAAGGAAATGCTTGATTCATGTAGTGTCATGGCATCTTTATATCTTTATTGCTTACTTGAAACTTCAATAGAAGAGAAAATACTCTGTGTTCTTATGTGTCTAGTATGTCTTTTGGGGGAAGAAATATCTATTTAGTATAAATGAATAAATTTGGTAGTCAGTATGTGAGCTGTTTTATCTAGTATATGATCTAGTAGGTATGGAGTAATGAGTAAAATGTTGGTATGTAAACTCACGAATGTCCAGTAGGGGATATGAAATACAAGCAGCAGTGCACTCTGGTATCTGGGATGCGTTTCTTGCGGGCAATGTTGACTTCTTCCTTCAAAAATTTCTCATACTGTTCATTGATATGTTTGGATATTGGCTCCCAGCTAAGAACATAGAAGGATAAAACAAAATGAGTGGTGTTCAAATTCAAATGAATAACTGGACTGGCCTTGTATTTTATTTAAATGGATAGTTCAAAAACAGTCCATGTGTCATCAGTGGTTCAACCGTAATTTTAAAAAGCTAAACTAAAAAAAAATACTAAATAAACAGGTCTGAGGATTTCGACAGAGATGTTCAAAGTTCAAAACAACTCAATATTCATCTTTGTGGATATTTCACTCTTGTACCTGTATACTTATCTGCAGTATGTATGTACCGCTCACGCTAATCAGAAAAGCAAATTTTGCTCAAATAATGTGCAGACAGGACAATTTTATGTAGCAGGTACATATTTCTGCTGCTTGCAATAGTGATACTGTACTGTCATGGCAATGCTGTTAAAGAGCCCATATTATGGGTTTTTGAAAATTCCCCTCCATGTAGTGTGTAACACAGCTCTAAGTGAAGTGAAGTATCCAGCTAAGGCTTAAATCTGTTAGTGTACAGTGTTTAAAACTGTTGATTCATCTATAAAAGAGTCGACTCATAGTGCTTCAAACGAGTCGCCTTGATACCGACTCATTAGGTGTTTCGCCATGACGTACGAATGAAACCAAGTTATTCACGTGCACGCGCAAACCTGGGAGATTTCAAACCTGCGGCCCCGCCCTCTGACGCAGAAACCCAGACACACACACACACACACACACACACACACACACACACACACACACACACACACACACACACAAACATGCCGGTCGATTGAAGTCACACTGCAGATGGATATATTGAGTCTCTACCCAAAGATGAAACCTCAGCATTATAGCCAAGCAGTTGGAAACTACTGGAAACTTCTGCAAACTACATGCTATAAAGAATACTTCATCGGCGTTTGTTAAAGGAAGGATCAGTAAAGAGTAACTTACTGATGGACGTCAGGATGGGTTTCTTCCTCCATTTCTCAAGTGTAAGTACGTGCGATTAAAGTTGCCTCATTGACTCTAGCTTGCAAATGTATTTCGTTGTGATTTGTTACTTGTAACCACGTGTACTGTATCAGGTTAACTCGCTTTATTCTCATATCGGGTGCAAAGCCACGTTTAAAACGCGACGCACGCTGCTTTGTTTACGGAGCTCCGTGGAGGAGGAGTAGTGTGTGTGTCTGTGTGTGCGTGTGTGTGTGCGCGTGTGCGCGCGCCGTCGTCCGGAGGTGTGTGTGTTTGTTTGTGTGTGTGTGTGTGTGTGTGTGTGTGTTTGTGTGTGTGTGTGTGTGTGTGTGTGTGCGCAATATGTGTGTGTGTGTCTGTGAAAAGAGCAGAGTGAGAAGCTAGGAGATCTCCTCAACTGTTTTTGGAGTTTTTGCTCAATAAAATAGTTAATCGTCTGTATTTTCAAGTCCATAGTCTGTATTTACATTGACCCACTGGCAGCTAAAATCCACGCCTTACACTATCGAGCGTGTATGCACTGTGATTACTTTTATATTGCTGATTAGCTGTTGGACATTTCACTCTCTCACTGAAGGCAGTCGACCAATCGCAACAGACTGTCATTGGTCCAATCAGCGCAGATTAGCTTCGCGCTAAGGAGGGGTTTGGAAACAAATGAGTCACTGGACGATTCATACGGGAGTCGCTGGGATAATTAGGTAAAAATAAATGCAGATTATAAGACCATGAAAGTGTTTTTTGACCTTGCATGCATATTAAACTGTTGTTGGAGACCCTTACAACCAAAATATGACCCTATTTCATGTATAATATGGGCTCTTTAAAATGATGCCTCTACTCCTTTACTTTTTTTACATTTAAAAATTGCCGTTATTTCAATGGCTTTTTTAGCAGTCTAAATTAATATATTACGTTTAATAAAAACAGTTCTTACAAAATTGCTTAAACCCATTTAATAAAATAACAAACAGTTATTATATAGAATGTAAAGCAAAGATTTGTTTTCTCCTTGTATTTATTTTTAGTGCACTGATTTATTTTGTTGTTGTTTTTTCGCCACATGGACATATGGACTGTTTTGATGATAATCTTAGGGTGGTTTTACACCAAGACTTTTGTTTCGGAACCTGGTGCCTTTCCCCAGTTAGCGTGGTTCTTTGGCATATGTGAATCTAGCAATCCAGCTCGGATCCGCACCAAAACAATCCGGCCAAGATCGCATGAATAAGATAGTCTCGGCTCGATTGAAACGAACTCTGAAGCGGATTGATTGTAGTGAAAAAGCAATACAATCCGAGCCAGGCTATATCACAGTGTATTATAGATATGTAATAGGCTTATATGGCTATATGAAGAGAGAATGACGAGTAGGGCGGGATGTCATTCCTACCAGTAAATGTGCGTTTCTAGAAAATTACAAAAGTGAAAGCATGTTAAACTATTAACAAGAGCTGTTTATCCTTTAGGAAAATTGACCGAACTGCAGTCTTAGTTTATTTGTTATTTTTCTCTATAATGTAAAGCCTAAAACGCATAAGCCAACTGCTATGTATGAGAAAGTCCTAGCTCTGATTTATATCTGGTGTCGATGGTGGGTGTCACTGTTCAAAATTAAAGTGCAGCTTTTCGCTTATATTGTCTTATTGCTCATCATCATACACTAAAATTTGGACGCATGATGGCTGAGCTGGACTCTGCAAAATAAACTATGAAACTGACGAATGTGAGAAGAGTTTACTCACACGTGACTTGTTTTAGCTTTTTTGGTCAGTTTAGAAACTTTGCCGTGTGAAAGCGAACCACACCAAGAACAAACAGCAACAATGTAAAAATTTTAATCCCTGTTTCGGAACAAAAGAATCAATCCACAGGTGTGAAAGCACCCTTAGTACCTCTGTGGGTTTTGAACATATCATGACCTTCGCTTTCTATGGAGAAACTGAAAGCTCTTGGATTTCACCAAAAATATCTTCATTTGTGTTCTGAAGATGAATAAAGGTCTCACGGGTTGAGAACAGTACAAGGCGAAGTATTTAATGACAGAATTTTCCTTTTTTAGTGAACTCTCCCTTTAATTTTTCAACAAAATGACCCAAAAAACTGTATCACTTTGCTGAGCTCCTTGGATGTGATCCCTAAGGGCAAGTAGCCAAAACAGACTCACATTTGGCATATCTACCAACAATCTGATTCTTGTCTGTGTAAATTAAGTGCAAATCTGGATGTCGAAATGTTGACCCTCACACTTGGAACATGTTTTTGTCAGCAGTTAGTAGCTGCCAAAATTAAGCACTTGACTGACCCTGTTTACTTCACATGACACAATGTTTGTCCTCTGTTCCCCAGACAGCGTTATACAGGATTCAGTGGCATTTCGGACAGTCTGCCTATTTTCATTCAATATTAGCAAACAAACTTGTAGCTTTTACAGAAAAATCACACAATACTCACCAATTATCATTGTTTATTTGGTCCCCGAATCCTGGCGTGTCAACGACTGTTAACTTCATCTTCACTCCTCCTTCCTCGATCACTGCAAAATCAACATTAATTATTTCTACAAATGCAGAATGCAGTACCTTTTTCTGTGACCGGATATAAGCTTCGATAGACCTGCAGAAAATGAAAAATCACTGCTGTGTTTAGGTGCTCTGTTTGTCTGAGGTAATTAGTCTACTGTTATTTCTGAAATCTGTATATTCCAAACAAATGTGAAACTGATTGGTTAGTAAGACACATGAATCACAGTGCACTCACCACATTCTGAAAAGTTGAGATGTTTTTAACTAGGTGAGCCTGGAAAATGTAGCCATGCACATGGTGTGCAATTTTTCTAGGCTCACCTAGTTAAAAACCTCTCAATTTTTCAGAATGCCACGAGTGCACTGCTAACGCTTCATATTTGCACACACAAGTCATGCGCCTCCATTGAAAATAACTCAACCAGCCACATTTTAATAAAACTATAGCGGTTCATACCAAAAAATTTTTTTAAATGTTATTGACAATGGTGTACCGTCAATAAAAACCAATACCGTTTTATCACCCAGCCCTATTGTAAACCAATAAACTAATTCTTAATGGTCCTAAGGCTGGTACATACACACCAAGCTGATGCCAAACAACTACAGCCAATGAAACCCAATTGTGTTATTGACTCACGTCTGGTTCTCTCTGGACTAAAAAGCTGCCCGTGAACACACCAAAAGGATGGCAGCCAACTAAAAGGGAGGGATAACTTGTCTTTTCGTATCCGCAGAGGGCAGTATCTGGTTTCTCATTCACATTGGGCGACCAGAACTTCAGACGCACAATTGTAAACAAACATAAGGGCCCCTTAAAGTTGTTGTTTGTGTGTCAGGTTTTATGGAAGGTTTTGTTTATCATTAGAAGATCCAAATCCTCTTAGTGTTGATTTTAAATATTTCTTTACCAAAATCTTACAAGTTTGGAACAACATGAAGGTGAGTAAATGATAACAGAGTTTTTCAGAGAAATTGAAACCATTTTAAAACATATTTGTTGTTCCACCTAAGAAGAAAGGCGTACATATATGGAACAACATAAAGCAGAGTAAATAATGACTATTTAATAATGATTTTGCTTGAATGCAGTGTCATGGTGATTTCAAATATTTTCCATCCAATTTCAGAATTGTACACCAACACACTGTCAGAACAATATACCAAAGATTTATATCAAGTAACAATAATTAGGTCTACAAAAATGGATAAAACAAGATATACTTTGAAATATCTAGACCTGTTAATGACGTTTTCTGAGCACCATTTGGGTAAATATAATCTAATTTAGTTTGCCAGCTGTTTGTTTACCTATGAGGTTTCACCTTCATCTGGCCTCCTAATTTGCCCTGGGCACAACACATGCCAGTCTAGACATCTTACTCGCCTGCACATATGCTACAGTATATGCCCTGGTGTATCGATAACATGAGCAGACGCTAATTGAGCCTTTCCTAATTAGTTGTCTATTTTTGTCTGTAATGGACTGCCCTATAGCTACCAGTGCTTAAATGCTTTCCTTGAATGAGCAATAGACGTCGTTGTGAATCCTTTACACACTGAGATTGTGTTCAAGGTTGTAGTTTGGATCTAATGTTAAAGACCAAAAAAGGAGAAAATTTAAATTTTGTCATTTTTAAGACTTAGCCTAACAACAAAACTAATTTAAATTACTTACATTTTAGTACGAAACTTACTGAACACCTGAAACTACCTTGACTGTTGTATTTGCGTACATTTGATGGTATTTTATTATCAGTTGTTCGAAAAATGTTCAAGAGACAAAACACCACCAGGAATTCCTTGATCACACAAACACACACACAGACCTGCTACAAGGAGACATATTTCTTGACTATGATGTATGAAAACTATGTATCCTTGATCATTGTGTACTATTATCTATTCACTTGTGACATCGAGAATTCATCTGCACCAAACAAGCAAAGAGGCAAAAAGGTGCGTCTTACTCAGTATGGACTAAACAGTTCACGTTTATTCAAATGAATCGCACTAACAAAGCAATCGTAAAAGAGTATTTTTACACTTATAACCAAACCTGCCTTGTGAATACACCCCAAACCTGGCCTCAGACTACAGTGGGTTTTAAATCTTAACCGGTTAAAAAAATCTGGTTTCATTTACATAAAAAGAATCATCAGATTTTCTTCCCTTAAATGCTAATAATAAAAACAAATGTCTGAAAATTGTGGCACTTCCCTTGATTTCATGAAGCAGATTACCATTGATGTTTCATTGTTTATGTTTTTTAGTTAGCATGCTAGCAAATTTTATACTGAACCAGTGTTCAAAACTGAGCCAGTTTTACTCAGCACTTCTTTATTTATATGTTTTTTTGTATACTTTTCCCATATTATTGACCTTGGTCTACAATGCGAAAGTAAGCTCTTTTCTCTGATTGTTTTATGACTTACAATTCAATTCTTAATGGATTGAGCTAAATTGGCCATAACGTATGTGTGTGAATACAAGAGTGTATGGGTGTTTCCCATAAGTTGCTGGATAAGTTGGCGGTTCATTCCACTGTGGCAACCCCTGATTAATAAGGAGACTAAGCTGAAGGAAAATTAATGAACGATTCAATTCCCTATGGGAGAAATGACTTGTAATAACAAACGGTGCCAATGCTAAAACTACTTGCTCCTTGCTAAGTGTTTTTGACTGTACATAAAAATAAAAATGAGAAAAGACCAGTTTGCAACAACAATCAGCATAATTAACTGTTTGTTTGTTTTTACAGCTAATAGTTAATGAAAGTGAATGACAATGAAATTCAAACACCAGTTGGCTCAGTGGTTAGCACTGTCGCCTCACAGCAAGAAGGTTGCTGGTTCGAGTCTCGAGTCAGCATTTCTGTGTGGATTTTGCATGTTTTCCCAGTGTTGGCGTGGGTTTCCTCCGGGTACTCTGGCTTCCCCAACAGCCTAAAGACATGCGCTTTAGGTGAATTGGGTGAACTGTATGAGTGCGTGTGTGAATGCGAGAGTTTATGGGCGTTTCCTAGCACTGACTTGCAGCTGGAAGGGCATGCGCTGCATAAAACATATGTCGGAATATGGTGACCCCTGATAAATAAGGGACTAAGCCGAAGGAAAAGTAATGAATAAAAAGTTCCAATGGCTGCACCCAATTTACATGAAGAATAAAGTCAATACAGGTAATCATGTTGTTGCCAATCTTCTACAAGCAGATTCTCCATCTCCACATAGGTTGTTTCATAGTCAGGCACTGGCTATTTTGGGAGTACTGACATAAACATAGTCATAATCATCCTGATTTAAAATCCAACATTTCAAGCGCATTTGATTTTATCTGGCTGGTTCTGACATGTCTCCATGTAAAATCGAGGGTAAATCAGCTCCTGTAGTGTGAGCCAGGCTTAAGAAACGTGTGCATGTTTATAAATCACGTGATTAATATGCTCTTACCATGAGACACAGATTTAATCTCAACAGTCTTTGGAATCTTCTCATCACGACTCCAGCTTGTGCTTCTCCTGCTAACCTGGGACTTAAAAAGTGTATTCACTAACGTGGACTTCCCAAGACCACTCTGACCTGGAGCGAGAAAGCAATGAGAAATAGTAAGAAATTGCAAAATAGTACAAAACTAAATTGAATAAAACCAAATCGCAACCCACCAACAACCATGATGTTGAAGTCAAAGCCTGCCTTCATGGTCTTCTTCCGCATCTGCTCGATGATGGTGTCTATGCCGATGTATCCAAGCAATGCAGATCCCCGACCCGACCCTTGACCTTCTCCCCCTGTTCCCTGGGGTGAAGGCACAAAGGGAGCGCTGGAAGGCGGTGCCACATGAGAGGGCTTAGCTGGGACGGCAGGTTTAGGTCTCACTTCAGGGGGCACAATTTCTGACATGTCTGCATGAAAAAGTGAATGATACACATCAATATGATTAATATGGCTTGATGGTATTACACTATTATGATGCTAATCGTTATTATTCATGAAGGGTAAAGTGTCTCAAACAACATTATACTCTGCATCCAGTTTCAAAAGTGCCTTTACAAATCCTACCAACAGAATATGCCACTACACTGAGTACGTTTACATCGACACCAACTCTTCAAATTTATTACAATTAAGACAGTACTCTGATTAAGAGACTACCATGTAAACAGCAATTTTTGATCAATTTATTCTAACTAAAGTTATAACCCAGCAAGCATTTTCTGTTTTAAAAGACGTCTAATAGATGTCTAATAGACGTCTAAACATAGTCGTCTTGGCTAAAACAAGGCTAAATTTAGGCTGTCAGTGAAAATCGAACAGACATCTAAGAATGAGCCAAAACAAATAAACAGAAATTAATGACTACACATATAAAGTCTGTCTAATCTGTCTATTATCGACTAGTCTAGTTTTGGGCTATTCTTAGATTTCTATTAGATTTTCACTGATAACCCAAGTTTAGCCTTGTTTAAGCCAAGCTGTCAACATTTAGATGTCTATTAGACGTCTATTAGATGTAAAATTGTTTGCTGGGAACTAAACAAAAATTACATGAAACTCCGAAGGAAATACGCAGGGGTGGACTGGAAGCAATTCCAGCCATAGGGCCCAAAAGTTCTGACAAGCACCTTATTATTTTAATTTATATTTAATTTATTTATTTTGCAGTTTTTTTTTCTTGTATCATTCAATTACTCATTTTCTACATTTTGTGTTAACGCAAAATAATAAAAACAACATGTAAAGCATCTTGTCAAACTTTTTAAATCATTTGTTTTCTTAAAATGAATTCACAACTAAAAATCTTATATAAAATAGTTCATTTTTATAACTGAATCTTTTATCTAATTTGACTGCAGGAATTCTCCATGATTGAGGGTAAGGGGACACATTTGCACAGATGTAATAAACATTAAACATTTTTTTAGACCCTCATCATACAAAATATGACAGAAAATTATGTTATAAAAGTTATAGATATAATTTATAACCATTTATTTAGGAACCCTCAGGTTTCCTGGCGCCCTAAGCGGCCGCTTATGTTGCTTGTAGGTTAAATCCGTGCCTGATAATATGGATCGCGTGGTGACGAAATGACGTTAATTGAATTATGTGCTATAACATGTAAAACAGGATCATGAAAGAAACATCCAAAAAGCAACTCAAGTAAACACCTTAATCATATTGTTGTCTTATTCAGATTAAGGCTAATAATTTGATTACTGATGTCCATGTAAACCCAGTCACATATTCAGAATAGTTGCAAATAAAAATACAGCCAAACTAAATGAATTAGAAATACACCCAGAATGTCCAGTGTTTGTATTCAATATGCAGCTATATTTGATTTGACTAGTTATTTTTATATTAATATTAGAACGCCAAATAAGTCTGGCCTGGTTAAAATAGTCTTAATATTAAACTTTAATTCAAAAGATATGCTTATTTCTAATGATAAGCTAAAACTTACTGAAAATGCTGTTTTCAAATGACAAATATTTAGCATATAATCCCACTCTCTCCCTTTACTCTGTTTGCACATGCAATATGTAGTTGTAAATAGGATTAAATGAGGAAAATCACATTAGACATCAGTGAATAATTCGCCTCAGAAAGCCCCAAACATATGCTGTATTATGTCCCAGTTATCTTGTTTCCGAGCCTAGTCCACTTGAAATGCTCCACTGAGTTGTCGGCCTATATTAACGCCATATGCTGCACAAATAAGCAACAAATAACGAATTATTACAGAAGGCACTCAACAAATCTCTTTATCGGATTAATCACCCACAGCTCGACCTTTCCCACGCGCACGCATGCTATTGAAACACCAACACAAAACACAACATTATAGGTTTCCTTCACAATCTACTGCATGGTTTGCGTCTTCAGCATTACTGTTTTAAAGCCCAGGGAAACCTAAATTAAGCATGTTAGGCTGCATTTACACGTTATTTTCTCCGTTTATTCATGTATTTCCCTCTGAAGGACTCGAAATAAGGAGTAATTAGAGAGAGAGCTTGCCACTTACCGATCCCTGTTTTGGTAGCGAGCGCGGGGTAAATGTATTGTTTCGTCCTTTTTAAATCCCGCTGTTTTACAGTCTTGCAAAGTGTACGTAGCCTAAGGCAGTAGTTGAACAGGCGTTAGGGGATGATCATGTGTTCAGGTGCTTTTCTCTCTCTCTCTTTCTCTCCCTCTTTCTTTCACTTCGTCTCTCGCGTTTCTATTCGCAGCTCGATGCACCTCATTCCTTCCTCCACCCTTTTTTTCCGGTTGCCAAGGAAACTAACGGGAGACTGGGTGATGCAGCGCGCATGCCCAGTCTTCGTCTTCGGCTGAAATCAAAGATCCGGGTCGCTGAGTGATTTATTTATTTTTTGTATATCTGTGCGGCACTCTTTGACTAGGTTTGTTTACTTTTTATAAATAATTATACTTTAGGAATGTAGCTGAATGATTAGCCTACAATAGGCAATTATTGTTGGTGTCGAGAATAATTAATATTATTATATTAATATATAATATTAAATAAATTACTATTATATAAAATATTATATTAAAATAACTAAATATGTTTATCTTTAGATGTTTCTGTAAATATCCCGTTAAAAGGTCAGGTTTTATTATTATTTACAAAGCATAGAGTTAATAGTATACATTATAAAAAGCCGCAAATAAATTTGCAAATAGTTTTAACAATTAAAATGAATAGCTATTATAAATAGAATCCAGTTATCAAATCTCATTAATCTTTTCTTCACTGTATAACTTGAACATTCTGATTAAAGAGCAACGCATGAATCTCTCCTTTAGATAATTCGTTTGATTACATAAAATAACAGAGGTGTCAGTTTAAAAAGGCACACATCTAACATTATATTAAAAGCCTTCGATTGCTTTCCTAACTGTTTATGTTCATTTAAGACAAAATTAGTTGTGTTTGAAAGAAAACCCACCAAATTCAACACCTTTGGATATTATTATTATTATTATTATTATTATTATTATTATTATTAAGTATTCATATATGTTGTTTCAAACCATTCAAACACGCACCCAAACCGCAGACTTTCGCTCCGCTTCAAATCGTGTATACAGAATTCATTTGTGAAACAGCATCAATTTATGACTACGCATCTGACGGTCACGCACCGCTACATGAATTGACTGTTTTTTAGATTGCAACGGCACCTGTAATGGAAAGGAAGAGAATCCCTCCGTTTTTATATTTGTTTCAACGTGTTTTCATGCCTAAATAAAACTAAAGCACAAAACAGATTCACATTTAAGAGAAATGGGCATCCCCTGGTGGTTTGGCAGTATGGGTTGGGTAGAGGGAAGATTGGCTATTCATTGCCACCCTGCATAGAAAGATTAAAAATATGGGAGAAAAACTGGAAAATACATTGAAGAGATGATAGCGGGATAGAACTGTAAAATACAAGAGAATCCCAGGAAGGAGGAGTCCTGGGAGGGTTGACCGGTATGATATAAATGTGTTTCTGAACTCCATCAGCTGTGCATACACACGTGGCGCGATCAATTTTCAATTTAGTTAAACTTTTGTCACTTTGTGAACTAATACTGAATGTGTGTCATTGTTATTATTTGGAGTTAGCCTTAAGAATAGAGTAATATGCTGGTGTTTAACTGCATTGCTTTACTGCATTCCTGCATTGGGCTCTCACATACTCTGTGTGCTACTTTATCTTGCACTGGACCCAGTCGACCAATCACAACAAACTGAATAATTGGACCAATCACAACAGATTAGCTGTTGCAAAGGATGGGTTTGGGAACACATGAATCGCTGGAAAAAAAATCATATGGGAGTTGCAGGGATAATTAGGTAAAAATAAATGCATATTATAAGACAATGAAAGTGTCTTATAATACCACAGCTCCCATGATTTCCACATTCAGTCACGGCATCATCAAACTATGCCTTTGTTTGTTGTGAATATGCACCCTCTAGTGGCGAAAATTAGATATCATACCTTTTTTTTTAAGCAACGAGATGTGATCTCACTGAAATATCCTTAAAAATCTATTTTATCCAGAAGTATTTTCCCTTTCTATTCTCCCCTTCCTATCTCTACGATAGTAGGGATGACTGGACTACCATGGACCAAGTGGCATCATATCAGTATTTTATTATCCAAGTTGTGTTCTGGTAAAAAAAAAATTGCAACAAGCACCACTAGATGCTAATGGAGTCCAACCATTTGACGTCATACGCCAGATCTAAAACAACGCTACTCCCCATTTATCCAAAATAAATTGGGTTTTAAAAAACATAAACATGGGTTTTTTCAACTACATATTTAAGTAATAGACACCAATTGCATTGTAATAAGCCAAACAAGTCTTATTACACAGGGATCCTTTTGAATACTTTTTACAAAAAAAATCAGCCTCATATTATCTTCATCCAACAGTTTAGTTTAACACGGCAACCTTTATGTCATCAAAACTACTCACATTTCCCAGCTTTGTCCTGTGCCTGTCTGTCTTATGCATTTGAGTCTCATGTGGCTTGTTTGTAGCGCATACATTAGCCACTGATGTGTCGTTGAGCGTCAGTGTGGCCTTTACCTCAGAACCGGGTTATCTCACTGTGCTTTGACAAGCCTGTGTCTGGTGATAAGGCGGAGTCCTCATTTTACTCGCTACCGTTCACTGTTTGCCATTTATACTTTTGTGGCTTATTTTCAACAAACAGTCTGCATATATAACAGTTTGTAGGATTCATTAGATACACAAAGTGTTTTAAAGCACTATCCTACAAGTTTATTTTTTTCTTGAGCTAATGTTTTGCAGTTTTGGACAGTAACGTCATAGTCTAATTGCAGAGTTTGTCACATGATCCCAAACAGCTCTTAGCCATGCTGTAATCACTTTCCCTTTGCAATTTCAACGCTAATCCTTACATGAACAAGTATGTCCTAAATATTAGAGCTGTAAGCCAGTAACAGATTCCAATTAAAAAATGTAAAAAAATGTAACTGGTGCTTATTCTGCCAGAATATCAGTGTTTCGGCTGGCTGCTTATAGTGATAGTGAACTTATTTGGTTTCTGAGGTGTTATCAGTGATTGTTAGCATGTATGGTAGCCATAGTGTTCTAAAGTAATTGTTAGTACTTTGCTGTGTGGTTGCTAATGTTTCCCAAGTTATTTTTTTAATGTTGCTATTTGGTCGCTAAGGAGTTATTTAATGTACAGTACATTGCTATGCTATGCTATTGATATTCTGTAAAATGTTCTGGGTTATTTTAGCATGTTGCTAGGCTAAGTGGTAAGAGTGATATAGTATGCTATTCGCTTGCTAAGTTATACTGAGCAATTTTGTAGAAAATTGCTATGCTTTTGCAGTGGTGTTCTGAGGTATTTTTTATTATACCGCTATGAGTATGTTACACAAGTGCATTGGCCAGTCTAGGCTGAAAAAATAAGTATTAGTTATTAGTAAGCCCACAACCTGCGCATGCAGAAATCAGCAGATTTTAAACCCATCATTGAGTCTGTTTATTTACTTGTGTAAATGTGTGTAAATTTGGATTTATTCAGTTTTAAAATTGATTCAGTAATATTATTGACTAATATGAAAATGTTCATATGATTTATTTACAATATAGTTTGAAAAAGTAACATTTTCTGGTTTTTAGTAGAATCTGTATTATTTGAGAGACTTGTTTTGTTTTCTAAATTAGTGGATCTAGATGAATTTGCATTGTAAACATTAAATACAGTAAAAGTTAATAGGTATTATTATTTTTTATTTCATATATTTAGTTTGTAGTTACGATACTACCGAAATAATTCCGCATGAATCTGCAATTTTTTTTTTTTACAAAATTCTACGCAGTAATAGCAAAAAATGTTGGCAGATTCTGTCTGGCTCTAGATATTTTAATAAGTTATTTCAAAGACTATAGAATACACAAGACGTGTCGCTCGTATAGTTTTGAATAGGGAAAAGTATAACGGTCAATATGGCAATTGATATGAGCCAATCATTGATTGCTATCCGGGAAGAAGCTCGGATCAGACATGTGCTTTTACAACAGTTTCGTGGTCAACAAATGCACTGGAATCTCAGCAAATAAAGCTTGAAACTTGTACTTCTATACGAACCAAGTGCACTTGATAACAAAAGTTTTTTAGTTTTGTAATCTAGATAAAACAAACTCGTGGTACAGTCCGTCCTGTCAAACGCACATCACATGACAGCAACTACTCAAATGCCCACAAACTTGTAAACAAAGACTAGCTTTCGTTTCTGTAGAAGATTCGCCATCAAGAACAAGTTGTAGATTACTTTAGAAGAGCAACGCGATCTGACAAAACATTTTTCAGAGGATAATAACCTGTAGCACAGCCATAAATGAAGTTGGTGTCGTGATCTCATTCCTTTTGAGTGCAAACTCGCATTAGCTTGGGCAACCTTGAAATATGCTGATTTTATTTGATTCAGATGTTTAGAAACTAATCTTATGTAATCATAAGCTTGGCAAAGAGTTTTGGAGAATTTGATGTTTCCCCATTCAGTCCCGAGCATACTGCCAGAGAGGCCTTTCAAAAATGGCTACTCAGTGAAATGACTTGCCTTAAAGGCACTCTGGTTATTTCTGGTCTAAAAACCTCATGTGTAAATTACTTACCAATAATTCACTGGACCAGCATCAGTTAACACACTGTTTATATGTGCATTAGGTTTTTGCGCTCAAACCACTCCTTTGAGTAGGAATAGTATCTTACACATCTAATCTAAAACTTTGACTGTTGTAAGTTTCAAAGTAACAAATCATTCATCATAGCGATTTGGAACTGTAATACTTTCAAGACCCATCTAGATCTACTTTAGCTGTGTGTTTCCATGTTTCCAATCAGAATCAAGCACTGTAGTTTAGTTCTTTCTTGTAGCATGACACAATTTAAGCATTAGAAACAAAAAAAATGTTGATTTAATATCTGAAATGTAATCCAAAATTGATGAACAGCTTTAGAGACAAATTTGAAGGACAGACGCCTATTCAAAGAGATAGCAGTTTTTAGCATGTTGCTGTATATGGTGTTCTGGTTGGTTACTTAGCCACAATATTTGAGGTTACTAACTTATTTGAAGTACCAAATTGTAAAACTAAATAAATCTTTAGACTCAGGTTTTACATCTGATTAGTTCAGGCATGTTACGTTTCTTTCCTAAAAATGAACCACTAATGACAAAAGTAAGGATCTTCCTAATATATGACATTTTACATGCTTCAGTTGTTAATGTAACTATGTAATGTAAACCTACTATGTATATACAGTTAATAATATCGGTGATTTATTTCAACAGGCATATATACAACCTTTTAATTGTAATTGCAGTAATTTGTCTTTCCACTCACCTGTAAACACACATTCTACAGAACAGGACTCGACGTCAGCTCCACTCCCCATGTCTGGGACTACAGATGGCTGTAATGGTGGGGGGCCTTCTTGCTCTCTTAACTGCGCACAGTTTATGCCTCCCAATCTGTCACAGTCTTTAGCATGAAGTGTGTGTTTGGACTCTTGCAGTTGATTCAGAGTGATTAGACACTGCGGCAAAAATTCATGCATGGAAGGTTTGAGGGTTTCAGAGTTTGTGTGTATGGTTGGGCTGTCTGTGTGAACAGCTACATCATGTTTCCCTCCAATAAATTTAGCTGGATTACAACTTTTGTGTAACCGCGTACCTCTATATCTCTTTGCAAATCTGTAATCTTCACGCAAAGTTGCTTCGCTTGAAGAAGATTTAGAAGAATCTGTATCTGAAGTGTTGCATCTATTTTGGGATGGTTTGCTTGCGTTCCCTGTTTGGTTTGAGGAAGATCTTCTCCATGCCTGAGGAGTTTTGAAGTATGTAGGTCTACTGTCAGATGTTCTTTTGATCACAGGTTTACAGAGTCGACTCAGTTGAGCGCATTCATTGGATGATCTGGGACTCTTCAAAGGGAAATGGAAGCAGTTCATCCGGCTGCACTGATTCGATGCATTATTGTAATGGGATGTGTTGATGGAGGTCTCGGAAGTTGCAGACTGAGACCTAATCTCAGATTCAGGCTTTTGGTTGTCAATGACACTGCTTGGACTGCATTGAGAGGTGTTGATTATCATATTGCTTTCATTAGAGCTATCATTTGTGGTGTTACAGTCCTCTGAATCTATATTTTGCCTTGTTGATGAGCTTTTTGAAACCAGTTCATTGCATTCCTTCGGAAAACGTTGATAGTACGGTTCTTGAAAAATATCCCTTTGGTTTATGGTAGCTTTAGGTGATGAGATTAGATTTGTTGTTTGTTTTAAATGTTGGCTTTTTCTTTCAGCTGAGGCTTGTGGGTGGTTTTGCGCTTTCTGACATATCATAGTAGGTCTTATTTTCTGCTTGGCCTCCCCTAGCATTATCTTTGGATGAACTGGCTTTTCCAAACCAGCAGGATGTCCATTGCTTTGATTTTTCAGTTTGTTCTCTTCACCGCTTCCCTTGATCTTTTCCAGATTAGAAAACTGGGCACCGGAGTTTATAATCCTCCCTGTTTTAATCAATCCAAGCCGGATTCGGACTAGAGTTGGGTCCTGGGATTGGCGTTTCTTTTGGTAGCTAGCAACATTTTGTCCTATGTTTGCACTTTTTTCAACATGCCTAAGGTTTTTAGGGCTTAAGCTTTCAAATGTTGTCTCTCCCCTGGAGCAGATGTTATAATTTTGCTGTAGTTTTTCAGGCTGTTGAGGTCTGAATGAATCTCGCTGTTGGCCACATTGTTTTCTTGGTTTTGTTGTATTGGTAATGGGGATTGATTTGACGCTTCTTTCAGTTGATGAAACGGGCATAAATCTGGATATTTTGCTGCTTCTTGGCCATGTTTTCACACACATATCAGCAGATTGTAATGGTTTCTTTATGGTTTCTAAATAAGGAATAGCTTTGACTGACTTTAGTGGTGGTGAGTCCAGGGATGTATCCACTGTACTGATAATGCTGTAGAAAATAAGATGATAATAATTCATGAAAATTACATGAAGTAACACTTTGTCAGTGTAAAATACAGTGAAATTAAAGAAATTACATACAGGAGTTCTCAAACTGTGCTCCACAGACCCCCAAGCAGGTGCGAGAACAAAATAATACTGTTTGCTGATAAAATTCTGTTTAAATGCATTTGAGCATACACCAGATTTATACATCTTATGTAGAGAGGAGAAAGATAAACACTCTTAACCTAATTCTAATTCACATTTTCTAGAATATATTTCATAATTTGCTTTAGTACTGCAACTATGAAATGCTATGTCATGAGCTGCCAAAACCACACTGACCCACAAACACATGGACTCTATAAGACTCCTGAAGATTTGGTACTAAGACAATGGCATGCAGTAGATCCTTCTAGTCCTGTAAGTTGTGTGTTGAAGCCTCCGTGGATTTAACTTATTGGTCCAGCATATCTCAAAACTGCTCAATTGGATTGAGATCTGACAAAATTTGGAAGTCAAGTCAATACTTTGAGCTTATTTCCATTTTCTTCACTTTCAAAAGTGGAAGGATCATCTCGATGGTCTGCAACTACTCAGTATCATATGCAGCAGAATGTGATTTACTGTGTCATTCATTCATCCATTCATTTTCTTGTCGGCTTAGTTCCTTTATTAATCCGGGGTCGCCACAGCGGTATAACCACCAACTTATCCAGCAAGAATGCCCTTCCAGCCGCAACCCATCTCTGGCAAACATCCACACACACATTCACACACTACGGACAATTTAGCCTACCTAATTCACCTGTACCGCATGTCTTTGGACTGTGGGGGAAACCGGAGCACCCGGAGGAAACCCACGCAAAGGCAGGGAGAACATGCAAACTCGGCACAGAAACGCCAACTGAGCCGAGGTTCGAACCAGCGATCCAGCGACCTTCTTGCTGTGAGGCGACAGCACTACCTACTGCGCCACTGCCTCGCCATGATTTACTGTGTGTTGATACAAATTCCTCCTATTACCATGATTATCTTTCTACTAAACTAAACAGGATTGCCTTCATTGCCATTGTACGCCAGTGCGTCTCAGGAATTCAAGACCCTGTTATTGCTTTGTGGTTTGTCTCAACTCTTATCACTGCTCACTGGGCACATTGCCGTCTCAGGGATACTCTAACTTAGTCATTTTTGCTATACCATTCGGACATCTGTCCTTTACATCTGCATCCAACAAGCTGATTATGAGAACTGATTGTTTGCTAATCAGTTATTCTACCCAGATCTTAATATGTTTCCTTTGTAGGAGATAAGGATCTATGCATATTCACTTTGCCTGTGATTGCTCAGAAAGTTTTAGGTCATCTGTGCATATATCATTTAGAGGAGAGAATATTAGGCACCCTCGGTTTTGAAAGGAAACATTCTTGTATATATTTTAAAGACGTTTTCACAGTAGCACTTTTGATGCCAACATCAGTAGGTTCATACTGCTACTGTGAACAACAGGTGCACACCTTGATAACCACGAGTTCACCTGTAAAGAGTTTAAAACAGTTTACATGAACTTTGATAAGGTCCACTTCTAATGTGAAAGCAATCGTACCAAATAATGGAACCAGTGTATTTATGCATTTACTAACTTTCTTTTTGACATGCATAACTGATGCCCTGCTAGAAGAAATTAAAAACTTGCATTATGTTACATTCATGATATATAGGTGCAACTATCTCTGTTACGAGTGCGTAAACGAAGGTACAGTGACATTCATTCATTTTCTTGTCGGCTTAGTCCCTTTATTAATCTGGGGTCGCCACAGCGGAATGAACCGCCAACTTTTTCAGCAAGTTTTTACGCAGCGGATGCCCTTCCAGCCACAACCCATCTCTGGGAAACATTCACACACACACTCATACACTACGGACAATTTAGCCTACCCAATTCACCTGTACCGCATGTCTTTGGACTGTGGGGGAAACCGGAGCACCCGGAGGAAACCCATGCGAAGCCAGGGAGAACATGCAAACTCCACACAGAAATGCCAACTGAGCCAAGGTTCGAACCAGCGACCTTCTTACTGTGAGGCGACAGCACTTCCTACTGCGCTATACTGCCTCGCCCGTGCCAAATGCAGTTTTATATAATCAAATGGACAGACAGACAGGCAAAGTCAACAGGAACAAACAGTACAACATGGATAATTCAACCAAGAAATCCAGACAGACAGGCAATGGTCAGGGCAGGCAGAAAACAGTTTTAAAACAGTCCAAAATCAAAACACAAGTAAATATCAAAAACAAGAACAGGAAAACCACTGCATGATGCACACTAACAGTGATACAAGACTGAGCAAAGATGTGTTTGAAATTGAGGTGTATATATAGTCCTGGTAATCAGTCCCCATGAGCTTTAGCGGTGTATGTAATCAGTGGTGATCACTGGTGGTGATCACTGGTGTGTGTAAAGTGCATGATGTAATATGTAGTCCGGTTCAGTGGCAGATGTGATGTCAATCACCGCAGACTGGTCAACAATTGAAAAGGGGGAAGTGGGTTGCTAGGCGACCATCAACCGCTTTTTCAGAGGATGACAAGCTGACAAATCACTCTCACTCTGATACACTGTTTATTTATGGAAAGCACTGCAGTGTTTGTGTGTTCAGTGATTTTCTGAGGTTATTAGTCTACCGAAATGTGTATATTCCATACAAGCTGAAGCTGATCAGTCAATTCTTGTAACGTGACTTGCAGTGCACTTGCAGATTTCATTCAACTGGGAGCGTCTGGAAGGCGCGAGCAATCCGCACACCTCCTTTGGAAATAACGAACTTGTGCAAACTCTAGAAAAGACACCATATGCGAAAGCGAAACTACCAATGAAAACTAAAGTTTAAACTTGAGGCACACAAGCAGTTTCCAGCTCTTTTGGGTCTATGATAGTAATGTCGTTACCTTGCAACAGTTGTCACTGTGATGACACAAACATACCAGGGTTCAGAACTAAAAACCCACAGTGTGAACAGTCCAGCAGGTGCATGCGGAAATGGTAGTCAACTAAACTTAGATGCGAACCATGCACTCCAACCAAATGTGAAAGCAGCCTAAATAAGCTATTAGTATTTCCCGAATTGTCACCATGTGAGGGGATCTGATGGTCTCAAAGTTTGAAAACCAATTAATTGAGAAAAGCATACCTGCTCGAAGAAGAATGTAACTGGTTCTGATTATCCAGGCTGAAGGGAGGGATGTGGATGGGCTTTTTTAAGACGATCGATGGCGAGAGAGGTGCAGGACTGGGGGAGACTCTAGTGGGTGAGTCACATGTGGGACATGGAGACAAACGAACAGGAGAGTAAGAAGAAATATATTGAGAGGATGGACTGAGACGAGACGGAGAAGTGGATGAAGGTGAGGGATGAGAGGGAGAAGAGGGTGAGAGATGAGAAGGGGAACCAAGACATGGAGAAAGTGTCGCTGAGGACAAAGAGGCTAGTGGAGATCCTGTAGGTAAGGCATTTACAGTTGAATTAGACTCCCTTGGGTTCATTGCAGGTTAAGATGCAGCCTATAAAGTGTCATGAAAATGTTTGAGCATGCAACACAAATTACAAAATCTATTTTAAAGCCAAAACGTCCACTGTAGATCGAGTATTTGATTCTATCAGTGGCATACAGTAAATGCATTAAATTCTGCAAAAATATATTACTGACCTGTGATCCTGCGGTCTGTTTACTAGCAGAGAGAAGCGAGGGAATGAAGGGGGACGAGTGTGTCAGGAAATGGTGGGTACTAGACTTACATTCCCTCCATTCTTCTCATCTGAAGCTGCACTGTCTCATTCACCCACTCTCTTCACGTCGGGCTCTCTAAATGGCAGAATTTGTGAAACTCCCAAATCAAGCAGAGAAGAAAACATTTCTGCAGCAGTTTGTGTTTAATATATTTTCATTGAAAGAAAACAACACGCTACATGTGATGGTGCAATTATCCACTTTATTTTGAATGGAGTTATGATGCATGATCGTCTAAACCATGGTTTTTGTCCCACATTTTTAAAAAGAAATGTATCACTATTGGCATTTGTGTAAATCTAGACATCTCAGACCAAAAATGAATGTAACTGACACAAAACTATCGACACGCAAATACACATATAGGTCTCACATAAGAACATAACCCCATGAGTAAGACTATTGTGAGCTATTTTTGTTCTTTAGTTTATTAAAGACATTGCAAAGTCAAAACATCTAAATCACACATCCAAATTTGAATTGCTATTTATAAAATGCACATACTTTTGAAATATGGCAGACTTTTATATCAGCATTCGGTAAATCAGCATTGGTAAGCATTTCCAATATGGTTTACTCTCAAATTCACAGTATGTGCATCCCGAAACATTGCTTTTCCAGGTTTTTCAGGCATGTTCTAAAATGCGAGCCTGAACATGACCATCATGACCTGGAAATGTTTCCTCTTGTTGGTTCATTGGATGTAATGTGTTTTCAACACAATACCTCCTTCACACAAATGTCACAGTTGTTCCTCCAGTTTGGCCAAATGTCACCAAAATTTACTCCGACGTTGACTTGAGTGGGACGTTATGTGGGAAATGACAGTGTATAGCTGTTTTATGCCATGCTATGATTTGAATAAAACAGAAATAATGGTTAAATAATTGCTACTATTCATAACAACATTAATATGAATCATTGGAGATGCACTGGGATTTCTGAACACATTTAGCCAATCTGCCAAACATAAAAGCTGATTTGTGCACACAGCATTGTTACTCTAAGTTACAACATGTAGCATTCAACAACTTTCCAGATATCTTGAGGGAAGAGTTAATGACCATATGCATGGATGACCTTTTTTTACAATCTTTTGATCTGTTATTGTGAAGTAAGCTTGCATAATTGACATTTAAATGAAAAGGAGTTAATGGATAACAATACAGAGAGCTGCAGATTCCATTTCTGCACTGATACCAGCAAAACTGTAACTGTACTGTGTGGGTTTGTGAAAGAATAAGGATCTCCTGTAATAGCTCCATAATATGGAAGCAACATAGCAATTTTAAATGGCAAAGTTCCAATTCCATCTGGCTGTGCCATTTCAGAAATTATACAGTTTGAGAATTAGGTCAGTATGCTTTTTTTTGTGGCTGTTTTGAACACATTTAACTATTCATGAGCATTTACACTATTACACTATAGAGACAAATGCTTGTTTGAAGTGGACAAGCTTTACATCTGAATATAATGTCATCCATATATGACAAAATACACATAAATCCTTCTTAATAGCAGATGTAAAAAGGGCTACACATTTATCCAAATTCTATGACCAAATTGAAATGATCTGGTTTTGGATAAATAATTTTCTTTATAATTTTGGTTTCAGCATACATGCATAAATAAATAAATAAATAAATAAATAAATAAATAAATAAATCAATGAATGAAAAAAATCAGGGCATCACTATTATATTAATATAATACTTTACAATATTATATTCAGTATATTCAACTGAAATGGAATGTTCAGAAGGGGGTGCAATTTTATTTTATTTTTATATCCTCTCATCTTTGGGCCTGGGACAAGCTAACGCCAAACAACTAGCACCAGCGAAACCAACCCAGGCTAATTGCGGATAGGTACCCAAGTACGTACCCAATTCTACATTTCTGGGGACAACAAAGCATGTGACCGAAGACCTTTGCAAAAACTGTCTGCTTGCAGTATTTGCAAATCCACCAGAGGTCGCTGTGTACACTTTTTATTGATCTAAAATTTCTCTCGAGCATTCTCTTCTCGGATAAACCCACCAGAGGGTGCAATATACACTTCAGCCGACCAGGCCAGCTTACTGTCAATTGACTGACTGACCAACCAAACGACCCACCCACCCCCAACCGATAGTGTTTTAAAAACAATCTAGGAAACGAAAAGGTGTTGCGGTCATGTAATTTAACCACATTTTCAGCCTGTTGTTTATTTATTTATTTTTTGCTTTTGTTTTACCTGGTTTCTGGAACCGATCTTCACCCGACTCAAACCCCGTCATCACAGTCAACTCCACTTCGCTTCTGAAGGCTGCCAATTTATGCACCAAACTACTGGGCAAACAGTCAGCAGGTATAGCGCAAAAAGGAAAAAAACGGCAAAGGCATCAAACCTCTCCATAGCGTTCACTTTAAAGCCAGACGTACCTTCGGCTACATAACTCAAGCTCTCCAGAAATGTAGACAGGGGTATCTATCCACAATGAGCCTGTGTTGAACGAAACTCAACTGTGTTGTCGCTTCATGTTGGATCGCGTCTGGACCAAAAAGCTGTGCATGAACACATCAAACGGACTAAAGTAGACTGATACAAGAGCACACACACTATATGCATCTCCAACACTCGCAGCAAACTAACAGTTGGAGGGGCGTGGCTAAGCATATTAAGCCATCAAACTGATGTCATCAGACTGCCGTTCCAGAGCAGAAGCAAATGAACAGATTTTGATTAAAGATTACCGATTTTTTTTCCAGTGCTCGAAAATAATTGTTCACCTTAAGACTAAAAATGTGTGCTAGCAAAATCAACATTGTGCTTACTTATTTAATGCAGACTTAAAATATATCAATATGACTAATCTGTAGTCACTTTTTGAGTTTTTAAGCTCCTATTTGAAAACCACTGCAATGTGGTTAGCCTTGAAACAGTCGGAAGATACCGCTAACCTTTTTTACAACTTTAAATGCAAACAGTAATCATAAAAATATAATCGAGTTTTTAACAGTATTAAACCATTTTCCCATTGGAGGTCATTGTTTATAAATTAAAAACAATGAAAAGACAATGAATGGTTTCTGACAAAGTGGCATGGTCTGGCACAAATGTCCACAAGGGTGTCATCATAACAGAGCGTTGCTGTCGTCATCTCTGCCGTGTGCTTGCCTTATAGGAGCCAACGGCTGGTGCCTCAGTGACTTGTTGCTCCATTTGTGGGCGTCCTGTAGACCCGGCTCCAGAAAATACAGACATGCTCCAAATCCAGCCAAGACCAGGACAGAGATCAGCAGATAGACAGGCACGAACCAGTCCAGAAACATCCAGGGCATTGTGTCCTCTAAAAAAGTACAGCATAAAAGACAGCAGAACAGTTTTCTGAATATAGTGAGGACGAAGCAATGCACTGCAGCAAATGAAACATTGCATGAGTCATGTCGAAATGTGTCACACATTCTTAACAATACAGAAGGTTTTCCCACAATATTCCTAATTTAGTACTTTAAGTATAGAGTAAATGTATGAAACAGCTCTGCACATGCACACATGGATCATGTCTCTCCACATACCTGCAGTCTGTCTTTGATCCCCTGTGATCTGGCACTGCAGTTTAGGGTTTAGTCAAACCCAAGCCGAGTAGAAAGAATGGTCTCTTGTTAATGATGAATAGTGAAGTTAATGATGTAGCCCGACCAACAAATGTGCGTTTTGGTCTTGTTGTATGCGATGGAATGAGGGCTTTTTTTCGCACCCTTGCTCCTCGGTTCTCCTTGTCAAAGCTATGTTGGGAGGGGAGGGGGGGTAACCATGGAGATGCCTGTGACGAGGAGAGCCGAACTTACATAATTTTTTTTTTTAGTAACCCTTTTTTTTCATTCCTGCTCCTGCATTCCTGGTCATTTCAAAGCATAACAGCAGGACACTCAGCAAAAAACATATCTACATACATAAATACAGCTACAAAAAAATTAGGAAATCACTTAAAAAAATAAAAGGGTTTCTCTATTAATTAAATTTTTTGTTTCATTCTGTGAACTGATTTTCTCCAAATCTGCAATTTAAAGGTTGTCGTGTAGAGCATTACTTGCATTTACATTTAGCAGGCACTGTTGTCTAAAGCGACTTACAATTAAGGAGGCATTCGGCGATTCAACAAGAAGAGGCAATACACACAAGTGATAGTTATACACAGTAAATTGTTTGAAACTGGAGCACCTGGAGGAAACCCACGCGAACACAGGGAGAACTTGCAAACTTCATGCGAACTCGCTTAGCTGGGACTCGAACATGCAACTTTCTTGCTGTGAGGTGATAGTGTTAACCACTGAGCCACCGTGCCACCAAAATAATGTATCGAACAAATATAAATTATATAAACATGAACACTCACCGGCCACTTTATTAGATACACCTTACTAGTACTGGGTTGGACCCTCTTTTGCCTTCAGAACTGCCTTAATCCTTCATGGCATAGATTCAGGAAACATCTGGAAATATTCCTCAGAGATATTGGTTCATATTGACATGATAGCATCACACGGTTGCTGCAGATTCTGCTGCACATCCATGATGCGAATCTCCCGTTCCACGACTGGTTATTTGAGTTACTGTTGCTTTTCTATTGGCTGGAACCAGTCTGACTATTCTCCTCTGACCTCTGGCATCAACAAGGCATTTGCGCCCACAGAACTGCCGCTCACTGGATATTTTCTCTTTTTCAAACCATTCTCTGTAAACCCTAGAGATGGTTGTGTGTGAAAATCCTAGTAGATCAGTAGTTTCTGAAATACTCAGACAAGCCTGTCTGATACCAACAACTATGCCACATTCAAAGTCACTTAAATCACCTTTCTTCCCCATTCAGATGCTCAGTTTGAACTGCAGCAGATCGTCTTGACCATGTCTACATGCCTAAATGCATCAAATTGCTGCCATGTGATTGGCTGGTGAGAAATTTGCGTTATCAAGCAGTTAGACAGGTGTACCTAATAAAGTGGCCGGTGAGTGTATAGGATGTTAAGTCAAAAAGAACCAAAATACCTTGGTCATCAGCATTCTTTGAAAATAACTTATTTTCTATTCAAGACAAAGTACAGGTATAAAACAACATCAATTGTCATTTTCAGGTTGACTTTGCCTTGAGTATCTCCTTTTGTGGTCTGCATAATGAAGAAAATCAAGCAGGATATATTAATATGATAAATGATTGCAGAAGTAAATATTTGAGGAACTATCTCTTTAAGATAAATGACACTTTCCAGAATAATCTTCCCCATCCATGCACACGCACACACACAGGAGCTGCCGTCTTCCTCAGACTCTTACTAGCTCGAGGTGAGCAATGCTTGGCTGAATAAGCATAAAGCAGACGCACACATGAACAATCTCAACCTAACTGCACACATTTACACAGCTGTTGGTCTTCAAAGTACCCTGCTGTTGATAGTCTCAAATGTCAGGCAGAATTGAGCAGCACTGACCTACATATGAGCAGAAGGCAAACGCAAGATCTGCAGATTTCAGCAGAGCCTGAAGGAAATCAATCAAACACACACACACAATTTATCCAATTCCCCTACAACGCATGTCTTTGGACTGTGGAGGAAGCAGGAGCACTCAGAGGAAACCCACGCCAACAAGAGGAGAACATACAAGCTCCACACAGAAATGCCAACTGACACAGATAGGACTCGAACCAGCGACTTTCTTGCTGTGAGGTGACAGATCTAACCAATTTTTGTAACATAACAAAACAATAACAGCAAAAGTGAACAGACTGTTAATGTTTAATAACATTAATAGACATTCCACAAATTTCCTCTTGAATGTATTGCATACAGCTCGAGTAATCCATAAAAAATGACCTTTTTTTGAAGTTTATGAAGACGATGATTAATGTATGTCAGCAGCATTTAATTATTTTAAATATAAAGAGGCTACTTGAATCAAAGATATTAATGCTGACGTTTATAGAGAAGCCAAAATATTAATCTCAAAAGTTTCAAAACAATATATTCAGCGAGTTTAACTCCAATCACACCACAAAAAAAGCACCATGATGTCTTAAAACTGGAAGATGCAAGATAAGTGCAAAACATGGCATTTGTTCATAATAGCTATTATAAAAACCTTCTGTAATATGAGAAAATACATGTGAGGTTTGTTATAGATTTAAAAACAAATCTCAAAAAGCAGAGTTAAGAGTGTGAGTATTTAGTATATGTATGGATGTGTGTGTGTGTGTTATAATCTGGAAGTCTGATTGCCTGATTGGCTCTCGGTTTGGTCAGGACTTTGAGGCTGAAGGAAGTCAGTGATTACGGAGGACACAGCCTCTGGGTTGTTGAGGTGAACATGATGGTCGCCTTCCACTTCCACAAAGGTGGCCTGAGGAGAATTAAAGAGAGAGATATTGATGCAAATTACGATTCCTTACATCTTGCACACTTTTTGGTGTGTATGTAAGCGGATCTCACTTTTTGATCGGTCCAGCTCTTGCAGATCCTATCAGCATATCCATCAGGTAGAGTAAAGGTTTTAAACAGACCATCCTTTGCCCTGAAGACAAACACACACACACATATATATATATATATATATATATATATATATATATATATATATATATATATATATATATATATATATATATATATATATATATATACACAGAGATGAATATGTTAAAAATTTGCCCTACTGTGAATTTCTTTTCTTCTTTTTTAAATATTTCCCAAATGATGTTTAACAAAGCAAGGAATTTTTTACAGTATTTTTTACTAGAGCAGGGGTTCTTAACTGGTTTGGCCATGGGACCCACATTTTTACATGGTCATCAAGCTGCGACCCAAACTTTTTAGGAACTATAATACAGTATTAGAAATTATACTTAATTTGTATTTATTTGTTACTATAAACAAGTAGTTACAGATACATCATAAGAAATTCACCAAGACTTACAAATAAACTATGTAATATTTCTAAAATTTGATCCATTTTGTTAAATGACAGCAATGAAATAAAGTTAAAAAAAGACAAATACTGTTAATAATAAACTGTTAATAAAACATGTTTTCTGGTTTCTAAATGTTATTTTAATTTAGAAGGTTTCATGCTCTCTTTTGAGAGCACCTCACTACATAAGACAATGAGGCTTTAAGTCTTTTTTGTCCTCAATATACATATCCATACTTTCCATATTTGGGGTCGTACTTGGGCTTCGACATATTTGTTGCAATAATTAAATGAAATTTCACATGTCAAACGGTAGGGTTTTTGTGCATGCATTTCAAAATAAAAGTCTGGTATGAGCAAAATAAGTAAAAAAATTAACTTTTGTTGTTGTTTTTTTGACCACACACTCTAAAAAACTCCACGACCCACTGAAAAAGTTCCCGCGACCCGACCCACCAGTTGAGAAACACTGTCCTAGAGTATTTCATCTTTTGGAGAAAGTCTTCTTTGTTTTGTTTCAGCTAGAATAAAAGCAGTTTTTACTGTTTTAAAACCGTTTTAAGGTCAACATTAATAGCTAGTTTTGATGGGGAGCAATGCAGGGCTACACATTGGCTATTGTATTCATTCATTCATTTTCTTTTCAGCTTAGTCCCTGTATTAATCTGGGGTCGCCACAGCGGAATGAACCGCCAACTTGCTATTGTATTCAATTTGTGCAGAAATATAAATAGGTTTTAGCTGTGAAACGATGTTGCATTAATTTAATAGCGCTTATGTGTCACACTGTGCACTACCTTGAAAGAGAACTCTGAACACAACCTGCCACGAGAGATGCATTTGAATGTATGTTAATACCAGGTGGATGCAGGGCTTGTGAAAACGTGTGTGTCTGTGTCTGCATAATGATTTAGCTTGTGATGGCTCAATTGTCTTCATTCATATAGTGAAATACAAAAACACCCCATTAATGATGATGTTTTACTGGTCCAAACTAATTAAAACTGCATTCAGATTTGAACAGGGCATGTTTTTATTAGTATCTAATGATTGACACTGGTTTCCCAGGGGGATCTAGAGGTAGACAGCATCATTAACCTGATGCAAACACAATGGAAGTCAATGTAATGTCCTCACTAAAGACAAAAGAAAAAAATGTTTGGGTGTGAGTGTGTGTGTGTATGTGTTTTTGTGACATATCAGGACACAAAACTGTATAATGACATGTGTATGACACAGTTATTACAAAAAGGAGGTGGAATATGAGGACATTGGTGACTTCCTCATTTCTCAAATAGCTTATAAATCCCACAGGATGGGTTTAATCAGAGAGTAAAGCTGCACACATTCTCCTGTGATGGTTGGGTTTAGGGGTGGGGTGGGGGCAATACAATATACAGTTTGAACAGTATAAAATGAATGGAAACCTATGTTATGTACCCACTTTTCAAACAAACATGTGTGTGTGTGTGTGTGTGTGTGAGTGTGTGTGTGTGTGTGTGTGTGTGTGTGTGTGTGTGTGTGTGTGTGTGTGTGTGTGTGTGTGTGTGTGTGTGTGTGTGTGTGTGTGTTCTGAACTCACAGCAGCAGCATCACTTTGGCTTTTACTTGCGACAGCACATGGAGGCACTGGTCGATATTAATATATATAATGTTTTTCTGAAACAAAACCAAATATCACCATTTGACAAAGAAAAAGCATGACTTGAATATAAACAGGCAATTTGTAATAATGTGTTTACAAAGCATTTGTGTAGTAGAAAAAGAAAAAGAGTAAGTTGTATTATAATGTCAGTTTTGACAGAAAATCTGAGCTGAACATTCCCAGCAGGCAAAGGACATCAACATGACGTCATATTGATGTTGTACCCCAATGTCATGGGGCTGTTGCATTTTGTTTGCAAATGAAAACCTGACGTCAGTCCAACGTCCAACCTAAAATCAACCAAATATCAACATCTAATGACGTTAGTTTGATGTTGTGTGGACGTTACCACTATGACGTCAGTCAGATGTTGGATTTGGTCACTTTCCAACACAACCTAAAATCAACCAAATATCAACATCATTTGATGTCGTTATTTTACGTCAAAATAAGGTTGTTTTTAGACGCTGAATTTTTAGACGCTGTTTTTTAGACATTGAATTTTGGTCACCTGACATCACGACCTAAATCTAATCAAATACTAACTTCTTATGATGTTGTGTGCCTGCTGGTTAGAATGAAATCTGAATCTTGTTATGAGGAATAAACAAACAACTTATATGTAATAAATGAGTAAACAAATAAAAACGGCTCACCAGGTTGATTCTGAAGTCTCTGGTGAATACAAATCCTTGAAGAGAAAGGAAATATTTTAGAGAGTTTGGTATATTAAATTCAAGATGTTTTGTCAAAGTGCATGCTGTGAGAAAGTCTAAAGTAGCGTGCCAAATGGCACACTATGCACTTGTACACTAAACCATGTAATATACAAGTTTACTGTCATGCCAAAACAGTTTTATAACATTTTATTTACTTATTTGACATGGACTTCACAATTACACTGGACAACCAAATGCATTTGTTTAAGTGTTTTAGCAAACTTGCTAATTCTTAAAACCTGTCCACAGGAGGCTTAAAAAATTTGCAAAATGCAAATATAATAAATGCATATACACAACATTACAATTCTTTACAGAAAAAAGGCAAAAGCAAAGGCAACATGATCCAACCAACTAACAGTAGACTATTTGTTTTAACCACTTTTTAAGAGCACTACTAAAAATATTTAGATTACTTTCTGATTTTAATCTAACTGGTAAATCATTCCACTGTTTGGCTCCCTTTACAGAGAAGACAGACTGACCAAAGGAGGTCTTACACTTTGGCACTAGACAGTCAACATTAGCAGTTGCTCATGTAACTCTGTGAGAGGTTTGATGCCTACTGATTAGATCAGAAAACAGGGTTGGTACATTATTATTTAAACATTTAAAAACCAATTTAAGATAATTAAATTTAATAACCAAAACAAAAAAGGTTATGTTAACATAAAACATCACAGTAATGCCATCATTTTTTTACTATTACAGAAATTTTTAACATTCCCAGACGACATTTAATGGTTGCCAAATTAGTTGAATAAATCCAAATAGTACCCGAGTATAACCACATTGACCATTGGGAGGTGGAATAATCACAAGTAAATTACACTACTTACACTATTTATGGTACAAGACGGTGTAGAACAGTACATAAGTACATGATTCAGGATGCACCTTGTGTCTAAAGAGTTAGTTAGTTTAATGTTTACCTCCATCAACCTCTCGAACTGCTCGCTCTAACAGAATATCCGCAGACTGATCGGAAAGATATGGGTTTGCAACCTTCAACCTGGAAAAAAAAGTGTAATTTAAGTATTATAAACATAATAATCATAATAATAATAATACGAATAAGAATAATCAATTAATTAAATATTAATACATCAGCAATTCGGTTTTTTAAAAATACTAAAGAAATTTTGCTTTCCAAAAAAATATTCATTTTCAACGCTGATTTAAAAAACTTTGTGATTTAGGAAAATCCTGCATCACTGTACAGTAACAGTTGCTCAAGGTTTATCTATCAAAAAGTAAAATAGTTATTATCACTTCACATTACTTCACAATATTACTGTTTGCTATATTTTCCTGAGTAGAAAACAGATGAAAATCTAATCTGCTTTACATGCTTGTCAGTAAACAGGTATTCTTTACCTTTCTTTGGCTTTCTCATACGTGTAGACCCTCTCCTTCCTTTCATTGGCCATGTTGTCATACTGGATTTGATCATTTATCCCCTTCCTCATGTTTGTAAACATGTCAGTCTAGGGAAGGACATAAAATCCCGAGTTGTATGTACAGTATGTTGAATAACATGTTCCTCTATGATTTACAGACATGCTTCGTTTATTCTCACCACTTCTGTTGGAAGGAATCCGTAAGTATCAAGGAGGACAACAGATTCGACCATCTCTGGGTACAAGGCGCTAAACTGGAAAACCAAAGGAAACTAAGATTACAAACTACTACATTTACACGTCATGATTTTGCCAAGTACGATGCGATCCTGAATCAACATCTATGTTGATCCTGGAACATCATTTGGTTTGAAAATGTATCTATTCCCTACCACTAAACCTAACCATGACTGTAAATTTTTCCCAAAATTAGTGGGGAGTAATAGATGTATAACTATCATATAGAAGTGCATAAACCTAACCGTAAGCCTAAACTTAACATAAAATGTAAAGTTTTTCCCTTAATTCTGATTTCTGATTGGAATGTTCCAGAATCAAAGCAAGGCAAGGCAAGGCCGGTTTATTTATATAGCACATTTGATTCACAATACTAATTCAAAGTGCTTTACATAAACAGGAATAAAAAAACAAGTATAAGAAAATAAAACAACAAAAATAAAAAAAAGAGTAAAAACAGATTCAAAAGTTTTAAAAATGTTTTAAAAGAATGAAAAAAAGAAAAGAAAGACATAATAGTGCGATCTGCCGTATGTAGCAGTGTTCATTCAGTAAAGGCACAGCTAAACATGTGTTTTTAGTCTGGATCTGAATGTTCCTAATGTTGGAGCACATCTGATCATTTCTGGAAGCTGATTCCTAGGCCATTTGGTGATTTATAGACAAGTAATAACACTTTAAAATCCATTCTGAATGTAACTGGGAGCCAGTGTAAAGATCTGAGGACAGGTGTGATGTGCTCTGATTTTTTTGGTTCTGGTCAGTATCCTGGCAGCAGCGTTCTGGATGAGCTGCAACTGTTTGACTGTCTTTTTGGGAAGGCCAGTGAGAAGGCAAGTCCACATAGATGTTTATCCAGGAACATGTCCTACTTGGTGAAATCATGTTGTCGTAGAACATTTACACATCACTGTGAGTGTACTAAAACAGTAGATCTCAACTGTTACAAAACCCAAATATCAATTTGTTCTGTGCATTTAAACTATAAAATACATTTAAAAAGACGTTTTTGTTTATTTTAAGCATCTTTTAGTACTGATTTATGATGTCCCAAAGCCTAATGTCAAATCTGGGTCATAAACCACATTTGCAAAAAGCAAAAGCAGTGAGAAAAATTAGCAAAAATGGAACAGAATCATAATGAACACTCACCATTCCTGCCACATTTCCACCTGTAAAGAAAAAAGCAAATTATAGTAAATGATCAAGTATATAATCCAGTTCAAAACGCTGTGTTTCCACACATTCAGATTATTGTAACGTATTTAAAAAAACTTTAATGCTTTTTTGCTATAATTATAAATATTTTTAAAAAATGTACGTACAAAATTAAATAAAACATTTACTTTAAATAAAACTCAGTAATTGTGTTTATTTTCTTTTATTTTGATTTTATACATAAGTTTGTGTACATTTTTACAATAAATATGTACACAAATACTAATAGAGAATATATGTTCACGGCACATTGCATCGTTTAAAACGAATAAATCACATTTTAACATGCAGATTTGAGATGATTTAAATTAATCTGTAACACTTCAGTTAAGGTAACAACTCATGATAATAATTCAATTCATGTTTATTTATATAGCGCTTTTTACAATGTAGATTGTGTCAAAGCAGCGTAACATAGTTCTAGTAAAGTCCAGATTTCAGAGTTTAGGTTCAGTTTAGCTCAGTTCAGTGAGGTTTAAATTTCACATCTACACTACTGATCCAAGCAAGCCAGTGGCAACAGTGGTGAGGAAAAAACTTCACCATTTGACGAAGTGAAGGAGAAAAAAACCTAGAGAGAACCAGACTCTGTTGGGCACGATCATTATTCTTCTGGCCAAACTAAATGTATTATATTAGGGACAAATAAAGTCTTAACTAACTAACTAACTAACTGAATTAACAAAAGCACACTACTAGCTTAACACTACTAATTAGCTGTTTATTAATAGGTATTAAGGTTGAAGTTGGGTTTAGGTTTTGGGGATTAGGGTAAGATCATATATTAGAACTACAAATAAACAGTTAATATCTTAATAATAGGCAGGTAGTAAGACAGTTGTTAGCTTAATTGTCAATTGTGACCTAAACGAAAGTGTTACCAATTTATTTTCCCTCTTAGAGTAGAGGAAAAGCTCCACCTAAAATAAGCTACTTTTAAAACCTTTAATGATGTTATGCTACACCTCAAAATAGTCCCCAGCACCATTTGCTGATGGTCTGTAAGGAAAATGAGCCTATTTTTAAAAATTCCTTCATAGTTTATCCAGCCCTGACCTTTAAAATTAAATAAAATAGTTTATTGTAAAATAGCAAACTATTCAAAACACAAAAATAATGATTAAAAAATTCACTAAAGCTCAAATACAGTGAACTAATATTCCAGGTACTCGGTGATCATTAACTGGCATGCAAAATGATGACATTAAAACCACCAGGGATGCTATAAATAGTGATACCAAGATAGGCTTGTGACATTAATGGCACAGTGTCCTTCTGATGCTCTCTTATGAGCCGGCTACACAGCAGTACAGGAACCATAAGTTAATTCATACACAGTTTACCCAGATCTTCTGACCTTTCACACACTTAACAGAACTTTGACCTGGTTCAGGGAATGAAGATAGTGAAGCTGACTTACCCATACTGTGTCCAATTATAGAGAATCGCTTCCACTGAAGAGCTGGGAACAAATGGAAAACACAAATATTTGACAGATTTAAGTTTTTGTTGTGGTTTTGCATCGTTTTTCAGTATAAAATACTAATTCTGCATTAAATATTAAGGATTTCTAAATATGAGATTATTTTGTCCTACTTCATTCCCGTTTGTTAACTTGTAAAAAAATATTTAAAGTACCTGTGAGATCAAAAGTTTTGTTGTTTTGGTGTTAGTAACAATACGCTAGTTTTAAGATGATCTATAATCTAGTGCAGTGTTTCTCAACCACGTTCCTGGAGGACCACCAGTTCTGCATATTTTCCATATCTCCTTAACTAAATACACCAGATTCAGATCTGCAGCTCATTAGCAGAGACTGGAAGAACTGTAATGGGTGTGAAAAAGCAAGGAGACATCCTAAACATGCAGTGCTGGTGGTCCTCCAGGAACATGGTTGAGAAACACTGATCTAGTGTGCTCAAAACAGTAATAAAAATCACATTTTGAAGATAATAACGATCAAATTTGTAACAATAATATGACCAAATAATTTTTTTTTTAACTTCAGTTTCTAATAAAATCTTCTGAACAATCAAATGCTCGCTTATAGTTGATATGTCCCGCCTCCTTCAAGATGTTAATGCTGAAATCGGTCATATATTCACACCAAAGTGTGTTCAAACCAACAGATCATACGCACAGCAGCACAGACCGCAAAACATATCGAACACATCAAAAATCACATCTGAACACATCTATTTGTGGAGAAGCGTAAAGAGGAGACTCAGTATTACTATTATAGACTGTGGCTGTCATGAGTCTGATGAGCTTGTGCTCAGCATATCTGATTTTATCACAGTTGTGATATAAACTAAAAGATATTGACTGTTTTTTAAAAAGTGACGGACCACTCTGTGTCCCGCTCTGTCTTACACGTCTGTTGCCTTTAAAGGAACACTTCTCTAGAGTAAAAGAGTTGAATTTGACCCTTTTTAATCCATCTTGGGGCAACACGGGGGGTCAGGGGTTATTACTGTTGCCTCACAACAAGAAGGTCGCTTGTTCGAGCCCCGGCTGGGTCAGTTGGCATTTCTGTGTGGAGTTTGCATGTTCTCCCCAAGTTGGCATGGGTTTCCTAAGAGTGCTCCAATTTCCCCCACAGTCCAAAGGCATGTGGTATAGGTGAATTGAATAAGCTAAATTGGCTGTAGTCTATGTGTGTGAATTCAAGAGTGTATGGATCTTTCCCAGTGTTTAGGGTAAGACTGGAAGGGCATCCGCTGCATAAACCATATGCCGGAATAGTTGGCAGTTCATTCCTCTGTGGCGACCTCTGATAAATAATGGGACTTAGTCAAAGGAAAATGAATGAATCCATTTTGATTATTATGCCAGAATGAAATTTAGTTCCTTATCGACCTAGAAAATAGCAACTTTCTTTCTGACAGTACACGATTTAACTACAGAAGAGTCAAACTTTAATAGGAAAATTATCTAAACTCTTTTTTTTTATTGAGCGAGATGCTAATGGTCTAACTCAATTCAATGATTTATGCTAAGCTAAGCCAAACCTGCCAACATTTGTCTCTGAGGGCCTACTCACACTATGCCATCCGTACCGTGCCCAGGCCCGTTTCCCGGATCGTTTGAGAAGTGTGAGTGCGCTGAATCGGGCTCAAGCACGGTTCACTTGGCCGGCCCTGGCCCGGTTGGAAGAGGTGTGCCTGAGCGCGGTACACTTGGGCTTTGGCGCGGTACGCTTGTGTGTGAGCGCGAAACGCGCCAAAGCCCGAAACCGAAAGCGAGACGTGACTTTTAAGGGACTGTTTGATATGGATCTATTAATCATTCTTACTGTTCAATGAACGCAAACTGCCGTAGTTTATTAAAGACGCAAACTCCTTACAGCACGCCAGCTGCGCGCCTTCAGCAGATCTCCTCATTCCTGCAGCACGAGAGCTTTGATTGTTTACGAGCGCCAAAAGTGGCGGATCTGTTCGGTAAAATATCTGACTGTGTCCCCGCATCCCTAAGGACTGTTTGGCGAAATATTTGACTGCATGTCACTGCATAACAAACGACTGAAAGGATATAACTAGAGAAATCTCCACTGTGCTGCTAAATGAGAGCGTATGGCAAGCCGTTTTAACATTTAAACCTTGTTCTGACTATCCATAAATATATTTAGAGATATAATTATATATTTTGACAAGTCATTATTATAATTCGACTTGTCAGAATGACAATTAGAGATATCTGCAATTACAATTGTACTAGTACGAAATCAGAGTGGAGATATCTGCAAATATATTATGACTAGTCATATTCCTCCATTGACTTCCATTGAAAAATATTTGCAGATATCTCTGAGTTTTGACTCGTCAAAAATCCAATTCAAGATATCTACAACTGTAATTCGACTATTAGTAAATTAATTAGAGATATCTTCAAATATATTTGTAAATATCTCTAAATATTACGAATTAAAGACATCTGTATGACTAGTAAAACTCAGTTAGAGATATCTCTAATTACAATTGTGACGAGTCAAAACTCATTTAGAGATATCTGCAAATATTTTTCAATGCAAGTCAATGGAGGAATATGACTAGTCATAATATATTTGCATATATCTCCAATCTGATTTCGTACTAGTACATTTGCAATTGTAGATATCTCTAATTGTTATTCTGACAAGTGGAATTATAATTATGACTAGTCAAAATATAATTAGAGATATCTCTAAATATATTTATGGAGTCAGAACAAAGATTTAAATGCTAAAAAGGCTTGCCATAGAGAGCGCTTCTGAACAGCGCAGCAGCGATGACGTAAGCGTGCCGTGGCCCGGTATGGTGTGAGCGCGGGCCGTCGGGGGAGACGGGAGGGGGGACAAGCGTGCTTTGGCCCGGTTCGAGGCAACTGTACCTAGTGTGAGTACGGCCTGAAATTCCGGGAGAACGGTGGGGGGTGTAGCGGTGGTGTTTGTTTGTCTGAACAACACAGTTGAGGACCGGGTTAGCAATGTACTGTGGTGTTAGTAACTGAACTGTGGACTGTTTTTCGGGCAGCCGCTGCGATCAGATACTATATGAAGAGTTCAGATGCAAAAACCTTGAAGTGCCGTCAGAAATTTCCATCAAAAATGAACATTTTTCTAAGCCTCCTTTGTTTATGTTGAGATATTTCACTTTATAGACCAAAAAAAAGGACTTATTCTTTGCCATAGAAGTGCTGTTACTACATACACACAGGAGCCTGATAAAAATTTCAGACAGCATTTAGAGGTTTTTGCATCGAAACTCTTTATATGTTATCAAAGTTGGTGCCCTGGGGCGTTACAGACTCTACCAAAAAGCTGAGGACCAGGGGCAGGGTGAAATTACGGGAGTTTTCCAGGATAAATTAAAAAACGGGAGATGGGTCTGAAATATGGGAGACTCCGGGAAAAACAGCAGTGTTGGCAGGTATGAGCTAAGCTAAAAGTGTTTCAGCCAGACCCGGAGATTGGTCAAATAGATTAAAAACATTAAAACTCAACTGTTTTACTCTCAAAACTTGCCCATTTACAAAAAAAGGAGTGTTCCTTTATGACCATTTTTTTATGAAAATGAGCCTATTGTGGGGTTGATTTAAGGATTTTAAAATATTTAGATTTCAAAAGAAGGCAATGCTACTTAATTGGGGACTTAAGTCTCTTAGTTGATTAGAAACAAAAACAGAGTTTCTTCAAACCTTCAACAACTCGTCGAACATCGGCCACATAAAAAGGGAAGGCGTAAAAGCATCCATCAGGCCTATGAGATGAGAGACCATGACCTGGAAAATCAATGGCTACAAATCTCCAGTCTGGGAGAGATGCAGAGAAATACAGAGAGAATGAGAAGCATTTTCACTAAGGATCATCATAATTCTCTGGAATCAAATACTGTACCATTAGGAAGCAAAGGAACCAGGGTATTGAACGTCCCGCTGTTGTCAGCCCAACCGTGCAAACAAAGCACAGGACGACCATGAGAAGGACCCCAAACTTGACCTCTCAGCTCTCCCCATGGGACGGGCATTCGGAATTCAGACGCTGTGTCAATATATAAGCATTCACATCAGTGACTACATGCCTCCTAAATATATTAAAAACAATAGTTTTGAAGCATTTGTGATAAATTAATAATACTAATCATATCATGTCTCTTACCTGCTCTTCTCATTGTGGTTGTGGTAAAGTGTCTTAGGCTCATAAAGGCAGGAAGCATTCTCACACTTATGAATTGCAGTTTAAACCCCCTTTCAAATCAAAGAAAATGGAAAATTATACCTTCTCAAAGTTTGAAAGGTAACCTTGTTTACACCTTATTCATTTGACATGACAATTCACGTGACATGACAATTCATTTTTGACAGATTCTTCACAGATGCAAAGCAGATGTGCAATAAATAACACAAATTCCGATACCGTTAAACTCATAAAGTGTTTTAGAATATTTATGTAAAATAGAAGTATTCAACAACACTTTAATGGCATAGTTCTGTTCACAAAATGAATTAAAAACTTACGTCGAGGGATACAAATCGCCTGCTCTTGAAGTTCACCATATAGTGTGAGCTAAACGTATCCTGACAGAGCAATTTTTCATAATACAAGTTGTTGCCGGTGAACAATGAATGCTCTATAAATATACAATTTTAAAATATTTCTGAAAATAGTTGACACATTGCAGTTAAGATTTCATTTGTTAACATTAGGTATATACGTTGCTGTATTTTTAACAACAATAACAACAACAACAACAAAACTATTAAAATTAACACTTGTATCTGTTTAGGGGCGGACTTAGTAATTTTGGTGCCCTAAGGAATTTCAACCCATGGGGCCCAAAAGTTTGCACTTTAATTTATTCTTAATTGATTTATTTAGCTTTTTTTCTCATATCACTCTTATATCTTCGTTTCTATTTTTAGTTTTAATGCAAAATAATAATAACACCATGTAAAGCATCTTGCAAAATTGAAAATGATTTGGTTTCTTATAATAAATTCACAACTAACATAACATTAACTATTTTTTATAGTTTTAAGTACGTTTTAATAGTTTTTTATGAAATGTTTTTAAAAAAAAAATTAATTACGCTTTTTAAAACTAAATCTTTACCTAATCTGACTGCTGGACTGCTCCACATTTAGGCAGAAGTAATAAAATTAAGCTTTTATTTTTTAGATCCTTGTCATACAAAATATGATGTTATATATAATTTAAAGGTATAATTTATACTTCCAGATATTTATTTGGGGGCCCTAAGCAGCCAGTTAACTTGCTTATTGGTAAAACCGCCCCTGCATATGTTAAGGCTGTTTATGAATCTGAACTTACTTGATCTATCAATGAACTTACAATGAAGTTACCAAACATTAATAATACAATTATTAATTAATGACATTATTATTATTATTATTATTTTTTAAAATGGTAATTCATTAATCTAAAAATTATATTTATGTTAATTAATTGCATCAACTAACTCAAAATAAGCATGAAACGTTATTTTTAAACTTTCATACAAGACTTTTATATTGAAAAATATGTTGTCGCTAGGCTAAAGTGTGGGTTTACTAATCGTGGCTTCACGCATCCGGAACTGAAACCCAAAACATCAGGTAACGTTATGCTTTAATCGGTAATGTAATGTGCTATTGCTACCATACCTGCTGTATCACATCATATGATTTCCATACAGAATGTTACACGTTAAGCTAATAATAGTAAGCACGTATAAGTATATTCACAGAACCCCATAATGCAACGACACGATAAGCTTAATGAATGACTCTCTGGGTGGACTGACAGTTCAGGTTTGTACACTGTTTTCTGAAAACAATAATATACTAATTAAAAGTCAAAGCTATATTTGTATTGCAGGTCTCAGGCACCTTCATTCTTGAATTCGGATTGTGATTCGTATCTGGAGTGCACGGAATGGAGGTCCGCTTCACGCGAGGCAAATCGGCGATCCTGGAGCGCTCCCTGACGCGGCCAAAGACGGAGGTGAGCGTGAGTGCGTTCGCCCTGCTGTTCTCCGAGATGGTGCAGTACTGCCAGAGCCGAGTCTACTCCGTGTCCGAGCTCCAGGCCCGACTGGCAGACATGGGCCAAGGTGTCGGAGCCAGCCTGCTGGATGTGCTTGTGATGAGGGAGAAAAACGGGAAGAGGGAAACCAAAGTATTAAACATACTTCTCTTCATTAAGGTATTATATCTTTGTAAATTGTTGACAGATTGTCTGTTGTTCTCCCTGAACGACGTCAAAATTATATATATATATATATATATATATATATATATATATATATATATATATATATATATATATATATATATAGCTTTCTCTGATCTATATCTTAAATATTAATGATTAAAAATGTATAACGTAAATATAATATACACGCCCCCACCACTTACCCCCCCCCCCCCAAATGGTTCATACCATTGATATATACACTAGGTATCACATAGGGACCCTGAGCATGCGTCAATATCGCCGGCACATTTGTACAGTGCTCCCTGGACAAAAGTCATTCAGTAACACTAGTCAAGACAGTGTTACTACTTACTGCATTCACCATAAGGCAAAGCAGCACCAACTCACACTAAACACCCTGCTTATGCTAGTTCTGTTGAATAAAATCAGCAAACAATGCAAAAGAAATATGACAACGAGATGCTGCGCTGCCAGAAACTTGTATTATTGTCTGCTAGTGAAGGAGTCGTTCATAGCGGAGATTCATTCACAAACGAATCGCTCTCTCCGTCAGAATGAGAAGTGAAAGCAGGAGAGGAGGTGTGTTTCAGGACAGGGATTAGATCAAATTTAACAGGAAGGGCGGATAGTACATTCCATGCACACAAACACAAGCTTTTTGTCAGGTATGCCCAATCACTTATCCGTTAATGTAGAAAAGTGTAAAATTATAAAGATGTAAAATTATAATTCTAGTAATAAAAAAAAAACTACTGACCTCCGGGAAAACGCCCGATCATAGATATATGTGTATATCTCTGGCTATGGATTGCCACAGTCCTCCACTGTAGCTTGATCCCGCATTCATTTCAAAGGAGCGCTACCCTGTACTAAAATGGCGGCTCCATTGACACATTTTTTCCAATAGACAACAGCAGGGTAGGCGACATCTAATGTATAGATCTATGGGTTCATAACATTGTGAATGCATAATTGCGCCAATCAATGCTTGGAAAAATATAATTCAACAGTCTGAAACTGGCAGTTCTAGAGCCCCGATATACATCTTAAGTAATCACAAAACACGTTTCTTGTGAAACGTGTTTCTTGTGTGTTTATATCTGCATGTGTCCTAAAAAACACATAATCATACCTGTCAGCATTGGGATGTGAAAATAAGGGATACCATAATAAGCCCACCATAACAAGGGACCCCCCCCCCCCCCAACAAAAATACCCAAATTACTAAATATGTTCTTTTGAGGCTGTTTTATTGTAAATAAACAGTTAAACGGTCAGTAATATGTTTTATTATTATTATTTACAAAAGAAAAAATAAATAGTATACATTAGCAGCAAATAAATTAGCAAAGAGTTCAGCTTATTTAAATGAATAGCTACTATAAAGAAATAGAAATAAGTTATCAAATCTCATTAATCTTTTCTTCACTGTATAACTTTCACACTTTGATTAAAGAACACAGAATGACTCCCATTTATTTGGATTTTTTGTTTGATTACAATAAATAACAGGGATCACTTTAAAAATGCACACATCTAATGTTATAATGAAAGCATTCGATATACAGCATGGGCCATTTATACGGATACACCTTAATAAAATGAGAATGGTTGGTGATATTAATGTCCTATTTATGGCACATTAGTTTATGTGAGGAGGCTTGTAAATAACTTTTGAAATAATAAAGTTATGTTAAAACCAAGCACACCATTGTTTTTGTTGTATTCGTATTAACGGAAGTTCGTTCTCTGCGTTCTTAGAAATGGGAAACAGCCAGAGTTGTGACAATGGAAGTTCAAAATGTTGTTCAAAATGTTCATGTAGGCGCAAATAGTTCCAGGATCTGCTTCGCCGTTCATTTAAACGATGTTAGATAACATTAAAACATACACAGTTATATTTTCAGAAAATGCATACCTTTCAAAAGTGAAAAACCAGTTGTCTTTAGCAGAAGCTGTAAGTGTCAACTTCCAGGAACTATTGAGAGGCTCCATGACTGGAGTCGATAGAGTTGTCGCAACTCTCTTTCTCTCTACCTCTCTGGCTCTGGTCTCACCCTCTCTCTTCATGTGTCAGTTGAGATTACGGCAAACATCCAATAAAAAATGCACATTTCAAAACACCTCATGGGACTTTTAGGTGATGTTTCACCTCAAAACTGTACATTTGCTGTTAAAGGTGAGTTTGCGCAAAAGATTAAGTTCTGCTATTAGTTACTCGCCCCCTTTCGTTCCAATGCCCTGAGACCTTTGTTCATCTCCTGAACACAAGTAAAGAATTTAAAGCTCACTGACCCTTCATAGACCACAACATCCCGAGACGTTCAAAGTCCAATAAAGGAACCAAAATCTGTCAGAACATTCCATCTGAATTCAGTGGTTCAACTCTTATCATATGTAACTCCAAGAACACGTTTGTGCTTCAAAAAAACCTGTAAAATATTTGCTTTTGTCTGCTCTCCCATGTCATGTGAGGGTGTGCGTTTACTACGGACAATCCAATGTGTTGCCATTAGGGTTAACATACATCCTTATCTGACTCAGAAGTTACTTTTACAGTGTTTGATGCACAGAAGTGTTCTTGGCGCTTCGTATGATTATAGTTGAAGCACTGAAGTCAAAATGAATGTATTGCCAAATTTTTGGAACTTTGAATGTCTTGCTGTCTCTGGAGGATGAGGGAGCTTCCAGATTTCATCTAAAATATCTTAAATAGGGTATATGCAGAGCTAGTGTTTCTTCCTATACCGATAAACTTGGGTGAATGGTTAATGTGACTTTTTTTCATTGTATACGGTTTCCTTTACAGCATTGATGTTGTTATGTCATTAAAGTACAATCAGTTAAATAGACTTTGCCATTCATTTAGTTGCTCCAGCGTAAAACAAGACAAAAAGCCATTTACTCGTACCTGTCAGGATCGACAGGCTAGTGCAGAAACTCTGTTGAATATACTGGTGTAAAATAAATGCTCATATTTTAAAGACATAGCAGGTATGCAGTGCTTCTTGTACAATCTGAGAACCATTTTATATCAGATATCTATCAGGCAGTGGAAATAGCTGATTTAAAAAAAACAGACCCTAAATGCTCCGCTTTTGTAGTAGAAAACAGTTTGCCAGAAGCAAATTAACAATAAACAAATTAAAAGTCCTTCCGCATATACCCTATTGCGTTTCAAAGATGAATGAAACTCTCAAAGTTTGGGAACAACAGTAATTTATAACAGAATTTTCATTTTTGGGTGAACTAACCCTTAATGCTTCTTATCCGGTAAAGATGTAGGTGAATTTGTTCCTTTGGTAGAACATCAAAGAATTTTGGCTGAAACACGGTCCCTAAATATACATATGATTCAACTCAACTGTGCTTTGAAAGTCAAAAAGAGCATATA